CGCGCTGCGCTACAAACCCGGTAACCCGAGTTCGATTCCCGCTCACGGTCAACACCGGTGACGATTATCCGAGCCGGTCCTGGGCCTCCCCTAGGACGACCCCGCCTCAGATGAGTACCTGGTGCGGTGTGTAAACATTACCACTTGGGAGACAAAGGCGGCCGGGCATGGTGCTGGCCACCCACCTCCTCGTGTGCTGTGCCGGCCGTCATAGGTGCTCGCTTAACAGCACTTGACCCAACAGTGTGTTAAGGCTACACGGGGGATCTTTGCCTTTGTACGTTACTTATTCCCTGGCTCTCACTCTTCACCACGGTTTGCCGGCCGGCTTCGCCTTCGTCATCTCTGCCCTCAGGAACGTCCCTGGTGCAGGACATGAAGAGCTACCTGGAGGGGGGCGGCCTTGAGTTCTGTGACATCACGCTGCTGCTGGATGGACAGCCGTCGCCGGCGCACAAGGCCATCCTTGCCGCACGCTCAAGGTGGCCCGCGCTGCTGCTGCTGCTGCATGCATTCCCCTTGCGATTGTGTCCCGGTTGCCGCTGAAGCAAGCTTTCACGCTGGCTCGAAGCTGTGACCTTGCATTTGACCCTCAAGTGAACATTGTTATACATTGCCAGTATTTGTTTACACGACGACCCACGCTGGTCTTCGTTCCAAAAGGTCAAAGGAAAATCCTCCCTGTAGCTTTAAACACCCTAACCACACCACCAGGGGCTGGTGGTGTTTACAGATTGCACCAGGTCCTCATTTATGCATGCGCCGACCTAGGAGAGGCCCAGGACCAGTTATGGTGCCACTCGGCACTAATGTTAGCCGTGGTCGGGAATCGAACTCGGGTTATCGGGTTAGTAGTGCGCCATACACTTTGTCAATGATCGTCCCATTACCCCACACACGCTCACGTATCCAATTTCTTACACACAACATGCACGAATGCATACCCTTTAGGCAACACTTAAAACTTGTCGATGAAAGGCTCCGCTGTTCTCCAACGTTTTTCAACCGCTCCGTCCTATTGGGCAAGCTGCTGCGAACTCGGACGCCGAGGCAGCTCGGTCGCGCACGTTCCTCGTCTGCTGACCCGCTGCCCTGTCCCCCATCTCGCCGGTGCCCTGCGAGCAGCTACTTCGAGGCGATGTTTCGCTCCTTCATGCCGGAGGACGGCAAGGTGAACATCTCCATCGGCGAGATGGTGCCCAGCCGGCAGGCCTTCGCCTCCATGCTGCGCTACATTTACTACGGCGACGTCAACATGCCGCCGGAGGACTCTCTGTATCCTTGTGCGTGCGCGAGTGAGCAAGTGAGCGCGGATGTTCAGGGTGATTCGGACGTGGTCGGTCAACTGCTGGGTGACGGCCTCCCCAAATGGTCACCGTCTGTCGTGTTCCTGCGAAAAAGCAACACCTGCGCACCAGATGATTCCATCAATCGTTTCATCTCTGCAATTAACGTCCTCCCAGGCACATTCCTTCCCTTGGAGGCTCCTTTAAAGCATTTTGGAGTTTAAATTGTGCTCTTTGTAATTTCAATCAGTGAATTACTGGACTACAATTTTACTTGCAATTGAGTTTAACTTTTCAGGCAATTATAAATATGCCTTTTGATATAAAGCTTTCGTGACTGCAGGGATTCATATTCTTGGTTCTTTCGGTAAAGTCACTTAAAAGGGAAACACATAATAAAAATATAAAACAAAAAAATTCTCACGATTCGGCTGCAACACAAGCAATCATCAGGTGTGAAAACCACAGCAAGAAAATTTGAAAAAAGTGCCGTTTTTTTAACGTTAGCACCACGGAGAGCGATTTGACAGTTTGTTCAGATGGACGAGTCCATCTATGTTCGGAAAAGAGGAGGGGGGAGACGAAAATTAATGGATACGGTCTGAAAGCCACTGTAAGCGTGAACAATCAATTAATACCCAAAATGGTTTATCAAATCCTTCCAATGATTGCTAAGCCAGAATCCATCTTCTCGGTTGAAATTGTCTCTGTGTTTGTATATGTGGATAGCCTCTTGTACGAATCTCTCATGGTAGCCAGATGGCTTGCAAAGAACCTCTGTCTTGGAGAAGTCAATGTCATGTGAGCCTACTGAATTATAACAGTGATCTGCCACGGCCTCTGTGGTAGTAGTTACATTGGAGAAACCAAACGACATGTCGGACCGCATTCGTGAACACAAAGCAGACCTGAAACACGGTAGGACCAACACCTCGGCCGTGGCAGATCACTCTTATAATTCAGGAGGCTCACATGACATTGACTTCTCCAAGACAGAGGTTCTTTGTAAGCCATCTGACTACCATGAGAGATTCGTTCATGAGGCTATCCACATATACAAACAGAGACAATTTCAACCGAGAAGATGGATTCTGGCTTAGCAATCATTGGAAGGATTTGATAAACCATTTCGGGTCTTAATTGATTGATCATGCTTAAGGTGGCTTTCAGACCGCATCCATTAATATTCGTCTCCCCCCTCCTCTTTTCCAAACATAGGTGGACTCGTCCATCTGAAAAACTGCCTAAATCGCTCTCTGGTGCTCATTTTTTTAATAAACGCTATTTAAAAAAAAATGTCTTGCTGTGGTTTTCACACCTGATGATGATTGCTTGTGTTGCAGTCGAAACACCGTGATAATTTTATTGTTTTATATTTTTATTATTTTATTGTTTCCCTTCTACGTGACTTTACCAAAAGAACCAAGAATATAAATATGCCCTTTGTGTAATTTATAAAAGCCACCAGCTAAATTACTCGATTGCAGAGGGAAACAATTGGCTGTTTGAAAAGAAAAACTACGATGTTGGCAAAGAAGGACGTTTGAACCTTGGGATGCGTACCGCTTGCGGTTGACCCTTGACCCTCAGCCACTGCACAGCTACTTGTTCTCGGCACCGTACTACTACGGCTTCACCAACAACCGGTTGCAGGCGTACTGCAAGCAGAACCTGGAGATGAACGTCACCTTCCAGAACGTGCTGCAGGTGAGTGCGCGTGCGGGCGGGCGGGCATGCGAGCAAAGCCAGTTTGGAAAACGGCATTCGTGCCGCGTGTTGGCCACTTATTGAGCGTGTGTAAATGTCAGCTGTACTGTTTCTCGTCAATGATTGATCATGCATTATGGATGCCGTTCAATTGAGATAAAAGTTGCAAATGTTTTCATTCAATAATTCAGCACACTAGCTGGAAACGATAGAAGTTTTGTTCTGTCACTTAAAAAAAAAAACACTAGAAACAGCTCGAGCGTGTGCCTACGTCGGCTCTGCTTAGGATGCACCACACCAGCTGTGGGTAACGTAACTTTAAGGCACCTCCTCAGATCCTGGAGGCGGCCGACAAGACGCAGGCAGTCGACATGAAGAAGCACTGTCTGCACATCATCGTGCACCACTTTACCAAGGTGGGTCGCCCCCCAGGGCATGAGCTGCGGTGGTGCCGACATCGGCAGCAGCAGCAGCAGCACCGCAGTCCCCTAACCCGGCCCCACCCGGTCGCTAGCGCCGTACGGCTAGCGCCGCCGTTCAACACCGTCATCGCTTGCGTGGTGCGAAGCGATTGCCGTGGCCCCCCTGCCGCGGGGGTCACGGGGGCACTTCTTGTCGCCCCGCCGGACGGGGGCGCCGTCACCAAGGCAGCGCTGGGTGGAAGGGCGCTGGTGGAGCTCCTGAAGGACAGCGTCGCCTCGTGTCTCGCGCGCGTCAAATGTGCCACGCTGCGCTTTCTGTGCCAGTTGATGGCAGCGGGGGCTCTGGCGCCACCTGGACCACGTGGCTCTCCCACCAGCCGCGTGTGACCGAGTTAACCCGTCCCGAGTTATGCATGGCACTGCGCTGCACTTTCACCGGCCTGCACTTTAAGGCACAAACCTGATGACATTTATTTCACCATTAGCGCTGAGCTCGTTTCCTTTTCAGCACTTGCTCAGTATTTTGTTTTGAGCACGACTTGTAAACTTTTGGTTCAGTTTTGCCGTTTCTTGAGTTTGCCCGTTCATCATGCTTCTCGTATATTTGTTTTCTTGTGTTGCGTTAAGGTGTCCAAGTTGCCCAAACTCCGTTCGTTGAGTCGGGAGTTGCTGCTGGACGTGATCGATTCGCTAGCGGAGCACGTCACGGAGAGGCAGTGTGTGGACATCGCGTGTCCCGACATATAGTTTCACCAGCACGTACCGACACACATGACCGAGCGCACCACCGTGCGCGTGTAACCGTGCTGGGCGTAGCTCACCCCGCACGCGCACACAAACGCGCACATACCCTCGGTTGCTATGGGTCGTGCACTCAGAAAGCGGCACAGCGCTACATGATCGTTCCACAACTGCACTTACTCTGTCTATGGGCCAGAGAAGAAATTGGTACCACCTAATGTAGTAAAACTTTAGTTATTAATATGAACTTATTCATTTCACCTGAGGTGGCATGACCGCAGTGGTTCTACCTTTTTTTAGCCAACAACCGTGAAATATGTGATGAACATTTCAAATGAGTTTGTTTCAAATGAGTGGGGTTATCAAATAATTAATTCATATTCACCATCTAAATAACTCGGTACTTCAGAAGGTTTTGCAATCTCAGGCGGTACCAACAATTTAAGTGTCTGGTGTGGGCTCATCGACAGAAGTTGCACTCTCACACAGGGGCACGTTGGCAACAAGCTGTTAACCCATGTGGCACTAAGAATGTCGGAGCTCGCCTAACTCACGCTTGGGACATCCACCCTCACACTAACACAAGCATTTAGGTCTAATATAACTTGTTACATTTGTACAAACCCATTGCTGTTTCTGCTGTACTAGTCTTACCCTCCATCGTCTGAAGCACTTTTAATAGACAAAGTATACACACGATGTAAAATGTATGAGCGGATTGCGTTCGGGATGCGGTGAACTTTATAAGCTTACGAGCAGAATGGCCTCAATGGGAACAATATTGACGTACGTTTCAGTGGTAAGTCTTGGAGATTGATGTCAATGTTTTTTTTTGTTCCTTTGATAAATGTAAAACTTTTATTAAAATATTTAAGCGAGATCCGATAAGGTACATTGGTTTTGGTGAAGACACATTTTCACAGTTTTTTCCCCCAATGTCTGCATTTTTCTGGCAAACACGGCAACGCATGCAGCGCACACGAAACGCACGCACACACACGCACGCTCCCTCACACCTGAACACACATGCGCACACACACACACTGGCTGCACGACTCGAGCACAGCCACACACGCAAGTGCATAAGTAGTGACTGGACATGGCAAACGAAACCGGTATTTTGAAATTAAAGAACAAACCGAAACCCTTTTTCACACAATCAAAACAAAAAAGCCAGCTTACACAAGTGCATACTAACAACAACAGATGGACGGCTTCACAGAGTTACGTTGGAGATGCCCACAATAGACCGAGTGTTAAGTGTGTCCCTGCACACACGCGCAAGTTTTTTTGGGATGGAAGCAGCCCCTGTGCGTTTTGGCTCGTGTTATATATTCCTTACAGATAGGAGAGTCCGGCATGTGCAACGTCGTAGCTTTGGGATGGGAAAAAAAAAAACTGTGGTACGGGATGGGCGAGCCACCTCCGCTTCCGCAGGAGATGGGGTTGGCGAGCGGTTATGAATGGCACGTGGTCGACGCCTGTTAATGGCCTGGGTTGTTATCCTGCCTGGCTTCTGAGCCGGTCCTTCACGATTTAACCGCTCAACATTTACCCGGTATTGGCGGTGTCTGATTGGGCAGTCGCACTTCAATTTGTAAGTATGACTTTAGGCACGGATCAGCTATTATGCTCGATCCACCAAATCGGGTGTCTTAAGGATATACGTTTTCATTGAATTCCCTTCAAGTTAACGCTTTAAACTGATTGAGGCAGAACGGGACGGTAAAAATGCAACGGGACAAAACATGCCGTATAGATGGACAATAAAAACTAAATGGCCAGTATGGACAAGATGGTACAAACAAAACAGGTTGAACCGTGCCAATTCATCGAATCATGCTCAAATGAATCATTACATGTCTAATGAATAGCCAGCTTAACTGTTCCAATAGTGTAAAAGCCCTGTTATATATATAAAAAAGTAAATTTTCAACAATCACACTCTGATCGTTTCGCAGTAAGTGAAGCCTGGGATCTACTGCCAACTGAGCAGCCTTGTTGCAGGTAGTTTGTGATGAGGTCTCGGGGTGGGTCGGTGGGACCTGAGCTAGGAATCCTTGTATATGAACAGAATGTCCTCGTCTGTGCCGTAACTCTTCCTTGAGTCGTTGAAGTTCTTCACAGTGCAGCTGCACATACCTGTGTGAATCGCACACGCAGACATCACTCTCGTCACATTGTGTCCACGCAACTAGACAGCACAAAATAAGATGCAATTGTTATTTAAACATGTGTCTGAATGCCACTGCATCTCAAGATACTGCAAAGGTGACAAACGTCCTTTGGGTAGAGGAGGAGGGGTCGGGTCATCGCAGGGAAACATGGAGAGGAGTGAGCAAAAGCACGACCTCATCTCATTCTTGACTTTGGTTATGAGCGTGCATCCTAGGTCTGTGTTTCTCAAACTCCAGTCCTTGCTTCCGCTCTCGGTTCAGATCACCATAACTACTACCGTTAGACGACAAACATCGGTTATCGGCGGGTCGGGGCAGGTCACGAGGGCCCGGAATTTTGAGAAACATCGTCATGAGGTTGTAATGCACACGTCTGCTTGGTACTGGTGGCGTCCAGCAAGCTCAATTAGCTTGGGCTCACGGTCTGAGAAGGCGGGGTTGTTGTAGAAGATGGCACGTGCGGAGCGGCTGTAACCACACAGGGTAACAAAGTGACCCTGGTACTCTTGGCGCCGTTGGCACAACACGCAGCAGTCGGCGCCCAGCGCAGGCAAGCAGCAGCAGCAGCAGCAGCCGGAGACGAGGCTGGACGACCAGCCGGCGCGTCGCTCGGCGTCCCCGTCCACGCCGTCGCCGAGGTCGCCGGCCTCTGAATACGGGCTTCCGCCGGACACCGCCGCCGCTGCCGTCGTGCCGCCCGCGTCGGCGGACGGGGGGCACAGGTCGCAGGACAGCACGGACGCGTCCGTGAGGACGATGGCGATGTGGCCGCCCGCCAAGTGGCGCTCCACCTCTCCTACTGACACCGACCTGACGCAGGAACGGGCGGCGCACCGTGAAAAGCACGTACCCACAACGGCAACGTGCGGTAGTTAACACTCAATGACAACGTGTGTTAAACGGTAGTGTGCGTGTACATTATGGCACGGGTGGAGGGGACCTTTTTGTTAATTTGGGCTGAATGGAACTTTCAGACCCCTTGACGGGTCGCACGTTAATGCACATTTCAGTCACTTCTGTCACTGCAAGAGCCGCTTGCAGTGATAGAAGTGGCTGCCAGTGCTAAAATTAGAACCACATTTTTGCCAGGAAAAAAATATTTCTAGTACCCGATAAGTGCAGCGAAGATGCTTACAGTGATGGAGAAATGTTGTTTTCGTGCAATTTCGAATTGGTATATCTCGTGCGGCGACGAGTCATCTGGGCTCCCCACCCTTGCATTGTGATCAAGCTAAGGAGCTGTCTTCTGCAAATAATGACTTATTTTGAATGTACATGAAAACTGATGTACGAGTGTCAAAGAGAACTGTATTTAAACCTTTTCTCCACCACCACTCCATTCGAGGCAGCCATCTGGAAAAGCCGATTCACCCTCTCTTCATCCGTCTCAAAGTGCCGGCGGTAAAAGCTCTGCAAAATAGCGTGTGACATTTCGATGGTGATAAGAGCCATGGACCCAATGGTTGTCAAAGCCACTTCGTCAAAGTGTCTCGTGTCAATGCTTCTCTCCCCAGATCAATTGTGAATTGACTTGTCCTTACATGTGTATTGTTCTTTTTAAAAGTGTTCACTTAAAGATCCCTTTAAGTGACCACTTTTATCCACAAAAACTAGGGGACACTGCACTTTGCAAATAGGTTTCAAGTGATGGGACAAAGACTGTAATTCAAGGCAAGATGGTAAGTTAAGGCTCGGTCCCAGGAAAGCAAGGCCATGCACGACTCATAAGAGCTTGGATTGATGATGCAGTTGTTGAGACGGGGCTCAGTATGGGACAGTGCAACAAAATGGATGGGGCGTTAGCATAGCTTTCAGGGAACAAGACAGGCCAGAGGTGAGGAGGGAGAAGCTGGGAGGGGCTCTCGCCTGGTTCCGGTAACCGCGGTCTACACCAACAGTCTGCGTGCAGAAGCGGTGCCGCACATTGAGTGCCACCAGCAGGTAGGCCAGGTCGATGGTCCACACACTGTCGCGCAGGTGAAGCCGCTCGCACGCGCCCTGGAACTCCTCCTCGCCCACTCCGCGCACGTACCTACACCAAACATTTTCCCAGGAGACCCTCGGTGAGTCTTGGGAATCGTCTGTCAAAAGAGTTGGCGAATTCCCCCTCAATACATATGTGAAGGGGGGTGTTGGCAGTCGGTTGTGTTTTGTAGTATGAACTCGGCGACCTAAGTTCAATTCCCAGCCACAGCTAACATTACTGGTGAGTGATCTTCAGACCAGTCCCTGCCCCCTGTCCCCATTCACAAAGCCACACTGACCAGCACGGTGGAGTATGGTAAACACCCACAACCTACACAGCATGAGGAGACATTCATTCAGCAGTGGTTTGACAAAGGGGCTGTGTGATGTACAGTATAGGCATGCGAGAGAAACCAAGGTTCCTGGAGACACCATATATGAGAGGATAACATTCAATACGCACTGAAAGACAATTGTCTAGGCAATGTAAATCTCAAATATGTGAAAGGAGCATGGCACCAATTCTCATTAGCAGCCCTGAGTTAGTGGCAGTAGATATTACACATTACCACAAACAAGAGCAAATCTCTGTATCGGACAATAATGGTTAACTGCCAAAAAGTGATACTCATTTTTATCAACTCCACTGAGAAAAGGATAGGCCGAGTTAACCGCAGACGGGGATTTGAACTCGCAACTTTGTGAATGCGAGTCCAGCGCTGCGACCAGACAGCCACCCGGCCTGATGAAACCAAAACTACAACCGCAGGAGATCTGAAAAGGGACCGCGATCCGCCGTGCACGTACTGAGTGGCCATGCGGGCGCAGGCGAGGCCACAGTCCCAGTGGAAGACCTGCTGGATTTTCGGCACAGGCAGCCGAACAAAGTCATCTGTGAACGACAAAGACAATGGGCAATTCCTAATGCAAAAATAAAGTTTCAGATTGTGCAACCCTTTACATGTTAGACAATGGTCGAGGGAGGCAGACATCACAGAGCTACCACCTCTGACATACCCTGAAGTGACCTCTGGTCCAAATCGTTGGGCGTAACAAACCGATATTTTTAATTCTCACATAACTGGAATTTAGCAGAATTATGCGCAGAACATTTTTGAATGTCATGGGTGTGTTTTTTTTTATTGCAGCCATTGGCGATGGGGCTGAGACCATTAACTCGCTACACGAGAGCACCGGGCATAATCACAAGCAACTGCCTGGATTCAAAACCCCGGGACCTCAGCGGTGCCAGATTCAACGCCGACATCCGAGCCACCTGGCCACCTAAGAAGGGTCACTTCGTTAGCAGAAGCCACCTCGACCGTGGAACGACTCGCCTGGCGCCCCCATCTCGTTACCTTGAGACCCGTGTCCTCCAGGTGCTGTTACAGTCCTTGAGCTAATATTGACCGACCTTGAGAGGAACTCTGTTGGGGGAGTGTGACTTTCAGCATCATCCACACTGCGGGTGACGAGCAGCGGACATTAAAATTCGCCACTGTCAAGGAAAATAATTCCACGCCATTAAATGTCCCGCGGCTAAGCCGTGCACAATAATAAACGGGAGTGTGAAGGCTGTGGCATAAGAGCACATTTCAACATCACCAAAGTTTTGATTTAAAGCTTTCGTGACTACAGGGATTCATATTCTTGGTTCTTTCGGTAAAGTCACGTAGAAGTGAAACAATAAAATAATAAAAATTTAAAACAAAATTCTCACGACGTTTCGACTGCAACACAAGCAATCATCATCAGGTGTGAAAACCACAGCAAGAAAATTTGAAAAAAGTGGCGTTTTATATATTTTTTATTATTTTATTGTTTCCCTTCTACGTGACATTACCGAAAGAACCAAGAATATCACTACAGTTATTATTTACGCCGCTTTATAACAGCCTCGAGTTACAAATTATATGTAATAGGATAAAGTTGACGAATGGCTCTGCTTCTGATGACTTCGTTCTGTGGTATTTCGTGTTTTTTTCATAAAAATGTATTTTAACCGTAATTGCTCATGGAAATTACAGTATATATTAATTTAAAAAATGTTACTCTTGCAGTCACGAAAGCTTTAAATCTAGAATTAAAAAAATGTTTTCAAGCAACCAGATTGTAAAATGTGCTCTCCAACACCAAGTCGTGCCTATATGTCCTCTCCACTTTTAAAGGTTGCCCACAATGTAAGATTTATATTTTTATGTTTTATGGCTGTGCAAAGTTGTTCGTGATGTACGCGCTACTGTAAATAAAACTTTGTCCGAAGCAGCTGATTTGCACAGGCTTTGATTATATAAGGACATAATATGGGTTTATGTCGAAATCTACTGAAACGACATTGAACCAACTCGGATCAAAAGCTCAAAACGCGACACAGGAATTTTGGCTTGTCGCAGCTGGACAAGGTAAGGGCACATAAACACACAACTACATGGGGATGACAGCCAAGGGCCCGTCCGTACCGGATGGACATGGATAAACACGTTGACATGCAACAAGGGCAATACTTGAGAGATATGAAAAGGTCTGGAGAGTTAAGGGTGCAGTGCCAGGTGGGGAAAAGACCAGCTGGTATCAGAGTAGCTCCGAGATAAATACACGAGGGAGGAAGCCAGCTGGTATCAGAGTAGCTCTGAGATAAATACACGGCCGAGGAAGCCAGCTGGTATCAGAGTAACTCTGAGATAAATACACGGGGGAGAAAGCCAGCTGGTATCAGAGTAGCTCTGAGATAAATACACGGCCAAGGAAGCCAGCTGGTATCAGAGTAGCTCTGAGATAAATACACGGCCAAGGAAGCCAGCTGGTATCAGAGTAGCTCTGAGATAAATACACGGTCGAGGAAGCCAGCTGGTATCAGAGTAGCTCTGAGATAAATACACGGTCGAGGAAGCCAGCTGGTATCAGAGTAGCTCTGAGATAAATACACGGTCAAGGAAGCCAGCTGGTATCAGAGTAGCTCTGAGATAAATACACGAGGGAGGAAGCCAGCTGGTATCAGAGTAGCTCTGAGATAAATACACGGCCAAGGAAGCCAGCTGGTATCAGAGTAGCTCTGAGATAAATACACGGTCGAGGAAGCCAGCTGGTATCAGAGTAGCTCTGAGATAAATGCACGGTCGAGGAAGCCAGCTGGTATCAGAGTAGCTCTGAGATAAATACACGGTCAAGGAAGCCAGCTGGTATCAGAGTAGCTCTGAGATAAATACACGGTCAAGGAAGGCAGCTGGTATCAGAGTAGCTCTGAGATAAATACACGAGGGAGGAAGCCAGCTGGTATCAGAGTAGCTCTGAGATAAATACACGGCTGAGGAAGCCAGCTGGTATCAGAGTAGCTCTGAGATAAATACACGGGAGAGGAAGCCAGCTGGTATCAGAGTAGCTCTGATATAAATACACGGCCAAGGAAGCCAGCTGGTATCAGAGTAGCTCTGAGACAAATACACGGCCAAGGAAGCCAGCTGGTATCAGAGTAGCTCTGAGACAAATACACGGCCAAGGAAGCCAGCTGGTATCAGAGTAGCTCTGAGATAAATACACGGCCAAGGAAGCCAGCTGGTATCAGAGCTACTCTGATACCAGGAAGCGTGTGATGCATAGAGACAGGAACCAGTCAGAGACGGTACGGACATGACGAGAGAGACACGGTCGGAACGAGGAAGACAGCACGACAGAGCCACAGACTACCAGGTAGAGACACAGGGCTGTACCAGACAGGCAACAGTAAAAACAGTATCAGACAGAGAGAGAGACAACGAGTACCAGAGAGATACGGGCAATACCAGAGACAGAGTACCAGTGAGAGACACGACCTGTACCAGAGAGACACGGACTGTACCAGAGATACACGGACTGTACCAGAGAGACACGGACTGTACCAGAGAGACACGGACTGTACCAGTAAGAGACACGGACTGTACCAGTAAGAGACACGGACTGTACCAGAGAGAGACACGGACTGTACCAGTAAGAGACACGGACTGTACCAGAGAGAGACACGGACTGTACCAGAGAGAGACACGGACTGTACCAGTAAGAGACACGGACTGTACCAGAGAGAGACACGGACTGTACCAGTAAGAGACACGGACTGTACCAGAGAGACAGAGAGACACGGACTGTACCAGAGAGACACGGACTGTACCAGAGACACGGACTGTACCAGAGACACGGACTGCACCAGAGAGACACGGACTGTACCAGAGAGACAGAGAGACACGGACTGTACCAGAGAGACACGGACTGTACCAGAGAGAGACACGGACTGTACCAGAGAGAGACACGGACTGTACCAGTAAGAGACACGGACTGTACCAGTGAGAGACACGGACTGTACCAGAGAGAGACACGGACTGTACCAGTAAGAGACACGGACTGTACCAGAGAGAGACACGGACTGTACCAGAGAGAGACACGGACTGTACCAGTAAGAGACACGGACTGTACCAGAGAGAGACACGGACTGTACCAGTAAGAGACACGGACTGTACCAGAGAGACAGAGAGACACGGACTGTACCAGAGAGACACGGACTGTACCAGAGACACGGACTGTACCAGAGACACGGACTGCACCAGAGAGACACGGACTGTACCAGAGAGACAGAAAGACACGGACTGTACCAGAGACACGGACTGTACCAGAGACACGGACTGCACCAGAGAGACACGGACTGTACCAGAGAGACAGAGAGACACGGACTGTACCAGAGAGAGACACCAGCAATACGAGATGTACCACAGAGACACGGGACAGTTATCGTAGAGATGCAGACAGTACCAGAGAGAGACACGCTTTGTATTAGACACAGACAAGACGAAGGACACGCGGACAGAACTCGAGAGAGAGAGACACAGACAGCACTCGAGAGAGACAGACACAGCACTCGAGAGAGACACACAGACACAGCACTCGAGAGAGACAGACACAGCACTCGAGAGAGAGACACAGACACAGCACTCGAGAGAGAGAGAGACACAGACAGCACTCGAGAGAGACAGACACAGCACTTGAGAGAGAGACACAGACACAGCACTCGAGAGAGAGACAGACACAGCACTCGAGAGAGAGAGAGACACAGACACAGCACTCGAGAGAGAGAGACACAGCACTCGAAAGAGAGAGACACAGCACTCGAGAGAGAGACAGACACAGCACTCGAGAGAGAGACACAGCACTCGAGAGAGAGACACAGCACTTGAGAGAGAGACAGCACTCGAGAGAGACACAGACAGCACTCGAGAGAGAGAGACACAGCACTCGAGAGAGACAGACACAGCACTCGAGAGAGAGACACAGCACTTGAGAGAGACACACAGCACTCAAGAGAGACACAGACAGCACTCGAGAGAGACAGACACAGACACAGCACTGGAGAGAGAGACAGACACAGCACTCGAGAGAGAGACACAGCACTTGAGAGAGACACAGACAGCACTCAAGAGAGAGAGACACAGACAGCACTCGAGAGAGACAGACACAGACACAGCACTGGAGAGAGAGACAGACAGCACTCGGAGGGGGGTACCGGGGGCCCGCACAAGCACCAGGGCCTTCGCAGGCCGCCCCTACGAAGGCCACAAAGCCCGAGGGGGGGCGAGGGGGGGTAGAGTGGGGGGTAGAGGGGTAGAGTAGAGGGGGGGTAGAGTAGAGTGGGGGGGGGGGGTAGAGTAGAGTGGGGGGGGGGGGTCCCTCGCGACGTCCACGCACCGGTCTCGTCCCGCGCTTCGCCCGCTTTCATGTCGCCTCGCCGCCCCGGGGCTCCTCGGCGCTCTTCCGCTCGCTGGACGCGACGAAGGGCGACTCGGCGAGAGGAGAAGAAGGAGAAGAAGAAGAAGGAAGAGGAGGAGGGGCTGGACCAGGAGAGTTGAAGAAGAAGAAGGAGGAGGAGGTGGAGGAGGAGGGGCTGGACCAGGGGAGCGAGGCCCGAGCCTCCTCCCGGGGCTCCTCCCGGCGCTGCGGCGTTGGCTCCGCGCTGTGCCGGCGCGGGCCGCACTTCATCCCGGCCCGGCGGCTCCCAGTGCCGCGGGGACCTTCGCCCGGACGTCCACCAAATCGCGATTCCGCCTCCTGCTGCTCCTACGCCTCGAGCCACTCTCTCTCGGGTTTTGTTTGGTTGGCTGCTTGCGGTTGACACCACCCGAATTCAAGAGATCCGTGGCTCGATACCAAATAAATGAAAACTCCTCCTCGTCCTCCTCCCCTTCCTCCTTAGACGTCGTATGGAAGTCAACGCAGACTTCCGCCCCGTGCTCCATTGACACGTCGTCGCAAGCGGCAGCAAAACAAACACAAGATCCCTGGTCCGGTTCAATACGTCACACAAAATCCGTGACCTGATCCCATCCGTGAAGGATGTCGTCCCTGACTTACAGTACCCCGGGGTTTACAAATTGAGTTGTACCTGCGGTGATTGCTAAATCGGGGAGACGAAGCGACATGTCTCTGACCGAATTCGCGAGCACAAATCAAGATTTGAAACACGGCAGAACGAATTCTTCTGCCGTGGCTGATCATTGTTACAACGCTGTGGGTGATCACGACATAGTCTTCTCCGATACCAAGGTTCTTTGCAAACCCACGGGTTTCTATCAGAGATTTGTCCACGAGGCAATTCAGATTTACAAACACAGACACAATTTCAACCGAGAGGATGGCTTCAAATTAAGCAACCATTGGAAAGATGTTCTAAATCATACCAAACATTAAACTAATTTCAGTGGTATAGTATATTTATTCAAGTAGTGGTAACCAAACTTTCACAGCAGCTCATTTCCCTTCACAGCAGCATTTGGACCTCTACGTGCATGTTATGCTAATTCCTTTGTCAAATTGTTTTGAGTTTGCTCACACGCAACTTAAAGGACGCGACCTGGGCTTGGCTGTCTTCACTCCAACGCTGTCCTCTAGACAGCACGGTCCCTTCACCTGATGAAGGCCACTTGTGTTGTGGCCGAAACGTCGTGATTTTTATTGTTTTATTTTTTACCTACGTGACTTCACCGAATGGAAGCAAAGAGTATAAAAAAACCGGATCTGTTTATTATTACACGATTTTATTTAGCTCACTCTGTCTGTTGTTGTTGTTGGCTTTGTTGTTGTTGTCGTTGTATTCTCAAATGTTGTAACTCAATTTTTGCCCGCTTCCCAATATGGTATCGACTGCAAACTCGGTATGCTTATGTCATACTGATGACAATACTATATTCTATCATACACATTTGTAAATGTTTATTTTTAAACATTCTCTTTAATATGTTATGTTTCGGTTTGGGTCTAATTGACCACGGTCCCCTTACGTTGTGGCAAACTTCTGGGCCACTTCATGGAGTCGTGGAGTTCTTCCATTACTTGGTGTTACATGTTATTTATGTAGTTTATTGTAAAAAATTCGGTCACAGTCCCTGTGATTACTGTTACGTTGCAATTATGGCTTTAGTTTTTGGTGATTTGGAAAACGTTTTTTTTGGTTTGGACATGTTTGTTTTGTTGTAGTACGGAGTTAGACCGACGGCCTTAATCTAAGTTGTCTTGTGGTTGTTGTTGTTTGACTTGCATCCCACTGGGATTTTTTGCACACAGCGTTGGTATACGGTGCTATTTCAGGAATATTTTGATGTTTTTTCATGGATTTTCTGTTTGCACAGTCACATAGTCACTTTAAGATGTTTTTCTTGTTCGTGTTTTTGTTTGTTGCGGTCGCACCCGATTCAAGAGCCGAATGGCTCACGGGGCTATACCAAAATAAATAAACTGAAACTAGTACGGTACATTTCATTAAAGCGTGTTTTTTTTAAAAGTTGTTTTTAAATAATATTACTGATATCATTGGGAACACGGTAAATACTCTGTAGGCTACGACTCTCGTGCGTGTGTTGTTAATGTTGTTTGCGGTGTTGTCCGTGGACCGTTGTTCGAACTTGCACGTTGGTGGGGGGCAAGAAGGGTGACCCCCCCCACCATGGGCGGTGTTGCGATTATTAACATCATTAGCAGACACTAATGAGGAGTGGCGAGGAAAGCCACCGCAGGTTTCAAATAACCAGGTCAGCGATGTGTAAAACATGAACACAGGCAGCACACAGCCTCTGTAGTGTACACGTGCAAAAATAACAATTCCTGAGGAACTGCATTGTTGGACCTTAAGGTCACCATAACCTACCTGCATAGATGTCAACCCCTTAGCAGTGCCCCTACCACCTTATTAGAGACCAATTCAGACCTTATTGGTTACCCGTAGCCCTTCTACATCTCAACGTTCATCCTACAAAGTCCCATCACAAGGGAGAAACACAAATAGATACCACTAGTACACTCACCATGAGGACACTCACCACTACACTCACCACTACTACTACACACTCACCACTAGTACACTCACCACGAGTACACTCACCATGAGGACACTCACCACTACACTCACCACTACTACTACACACACTCACCACTAGTACACTCACCACGAGTACACTCACCATGAGGATACTCACCACTACACTCACCACTACTACTACACACACTCACCACTAGTACACTCACCACTAGTACACTCACCATGAGGACACTCACCACTACACTCACCACTACTACTACACACATTCACCACTACTACACTCACCACTAGTACACTCACCATGAGGACACTCACCACTACACTCACCACTAGTACACTCACCACTACTACTACACACACTCACCACTAGTACACTCACCACTACTACACTCACCACTACACTCACCACTAGTACACTCACCACTAGTACACTCACCACTACTACTACACACACTCACTACTAGTACACTCACCACTATTACACTCACCATGAGGACACTCACCACTACACTCACCACTAGTACACTCACCACTCGTACACTCACCACTACTACTACACACACTCACCACTAGTACACTCACTATTACACTCACCACTAGTGCACTCACCACTAGTACACTCACCACTACACTCACCACTAGTACACTCACCACTACATAGTAGTCAACCCCTTAACAGTGCCCTACCTTATGAGAGACCAATTCAAACCTTATTGGTTACCCGTAGCCCTTATAAATCTCAACGTTTATCCTACAAAGTCCCATCACTAGGGAGCAACGCAAACAAATAGACAAAAACAATTTTCTGCCCTTATTGAAACGTATGTACGCCGTATGGACCTCAAAACTCAATTTCCCTGTACAAGAATACGGAGTACACTGTATGCGTTGACAGGCGTGCAAACATCACTAACAGCCTAATAAAGGGATAGCGAGGAAAGTCACCACACGTTTAAAATAACAACGCAGAAATGCGTAACGAAACAATCAGCACACAACCACTTTACTGTACACTTGCAAAAAAAACAATTCCTGAGGAACTGCATTGTTGGACCCTTAGGTCACTATGAATTGTCTGTCTCATTGACCGCCTCATTGTCGAGGAATAGCGAAGATCGACATGAACGTGAGTGATAGTGGCCAACTTCACAGCAGCAGTGATACAAAGGTGGACGAGGGCGAGCAATCGGTGTGTGTACTGTGCTGATGAGTCCTAATTAGAATGAAACGGGTCAAATATTTACACTTCAGTGACTTGATTTGGCAGTTGTTTACGAGGACAGTCGCTCCCTCCAATAAACAGCACTGACTTCAAATGGGACATTTTTTTTGCCAGTATAAAAGTATGAAAAAAATAAAAGAAATATATTATAGGGTTTACCCTTTGATATTGTTATTATTTTTTTATTATTTTTTCTATCTACGTGGCTTTACCAAAATAATTAAACATGTGTTAAGATATTCTTGGTTCTTTCGGTAAAGTCACGTAGAAGGGAAACAATAAAATAATAAACATATAAAACAATACAATTCTCACGACGTTTCGACTGCAACACAAGCAATCATCATCAGGTGTAAAAACCACAACAATAAAATTTGAAAAAAGTGGCGTTTTTGTTTTAACGTTAGCACCACGGAGAGCGATTTGACAGTTTGTTCAGATGGACGAGTCCATCTATGTTCGGAAAAGAGGAGGGGGGAGACGAAAAATAATGGATGCGGTCTGAAAGCCACCGTAAGCGTGAACAATCAATTAAGACCCGAAATGGTCTATCAAATCCTTCCAATGATTGCTAAGCCAGAATCCATCTTCTCGGTTGAAATTGTCTCTGTGTTTGTATATTTGGATAGCCTCATGAACGAATCTCTCATGGTAGCCGGATGGCTTACAAAGAACCTCTGTCTTGGAGAAGTCAATGTCATGTGAGCCTACTGAATTATAACAGTGATCTGCCACGGCCGAGGTGTTGGTCCTACCGTGTTTCAGGTCTGCTTTGTGTTCACGAATGCGGTCCGAGACATGGCGTTTGGTTTCTCCAATGTAACTTCTACCACAGAGGCAATTTAGTTTGTAGACACCAGGGTACTGCATGTCCGGAATCACATCTTTTACAGACGGAACCAGATCACGGATGTTATGTAATGTGTTGAAACGGACCTGGATCTTGTGTTTATTCAAGATTTTGGAGATATTTTTTGTGATCCCCGCAATGTAGGGTAAAGTGATGGTTTTGAAAGGCTCCTCAAGAGGGTCCTTCTTCACGGTTTGAGTGATAGCTTTGCGGATTGTGTAGTCGGAGTAACCATTATCCTTAAGAGCTTGGTGTACGTGCTTGAGTTCACTGGCTATGTGTTCCTGGTCGGATATGCATTGGGCTCTATGGTGCAGAGTCTTGATGAGGGAATTCTTCTGGTATGGATAGTGGTGGGAATCCGGTTTCAGGTAAGCATCCGTATGGATAGCTTTCCTGTAGACAGAGTGGCTCATTGAATACAAGAATATGAATCCCTGCAGTCACGAAAGCTTTAAATCAAAATGTGTTAAGATGTTCGCGTACTTGTGGTTAATGCAAGCTTGATTCCTTGCAAAAAGTTTATGTGTTTGGTGTTTGAACGTCTAAGCACCTGTTTTATTTCCAGAAAGGGTAAAGGGGCCGTCCATAAATGACGTCTCGCACCTTGGAGGGGGTCAGACAATTTGTGACGATGTGTGACGAGAGGGGGGTTGAAAAATGTGACGTCACATCAAAATGCGCAACTTTAAATAAATGTAGACAACACCTTCTACTTAATTAAATACAACATCAGAGTGCAGCGCCACATTAAATACGCACTACAATGACAATAGTTTAAAGCGATTTGAAGCATGTTTTATTTGGGTGGGTTGGGGCAGTGACGCCACGCTTCATAACTAAACGAGGTGACGTCATTTGTCCGTATTTAATTATGCAGAGCTTTGTGACGTCATATTTGAGGGGGGTCTGACTTTTTGCTACGATTGGGGGGGGGGTAAAAAATCGTCCAAAATCGTGTGACGTCATTTATGGACGGCCCCATATGAGTTTTAATTACATATAATAGGCGACGTTTCGGGAAATGGCCCTTGATATCTGCTCCGAAGGTCTATTGCCCGAAACGTCGCCGATTATAATATTTGTCTATAAAACAGTATATATTTCATTTTAAGTCCACAGTGTCGACGAATATATTGCTACACATTGACGTCACGCGTCACAACTTAAGGCGGGCGACGTCATTGTGTATTTAAGAAGTGACGCCACGCTTCAAAACTAACCGAGGTGACGTCATTTGTCCGTATTAAAATTGTTGACGTCACGTGGCCGAACGACGTCACGCGCCTCGCCGCCTCCGCCGTTGATTCTCAAGAGTTCGCCGCCGTTCCAGTCTCCCGCTTCATTTCGTCGTCGCCGCCGCCGCAATGTCGATCGGCGTCCCCATCAAAGTGCTTCACGAGGCCGAGGGCCACATCGTGACGTGCGAGACGAACACGGGCGAGGTGTACCGAGGCAAGCTCGTGGAGGCCGAGGACAACATGAACTGCCAGGTGCGAAAGGGGCCCCCGCGCCTAGGCAAGGCGCGGGCTGCGCGCGGCGTGCTGAAACCCGCTAGGCCCCGACGAATGAATGGACGAATTCGAGTCGAGTGGCGCGTGGTGGTTGTGTCGTTGCGTCTCTCTTCGAGTTGCGTTTAGTCGTCCATCGGCCATGATCGATCCACTGCTGGATGAAAGGGCCTGTCTTTTCCGGTATGCCTTAGTCACGTTTAGTGGCGCGTGTGGTTCGCGCACCGCGCTACGCCGACACCGTTTTGTCTTTGGGAGTTCCATTCCAGGCCGCAGATGAAAGTTGTGACTTATGAAGAAGTGGTAGCCGGTCCTTGGGTGCGTCCCTTCATCAAGCACGTATTTGACCTGCGTAGTGAAGTCCGATCGGGTAGTCCCCACTACCGAAACGGCGTAGGGAAGACCCCATCCCATGCATCTTGAAGCTCGTGCATTCTTCAGCTGTGATAGTTATCCCACAGTGTTTAATGTGAACACACTGCACGCAATAATTCCTTACGGTCTGTCCACTGCTACACGAATGGCTTTGGGAACGGTAAATGCATTTTAAAGTTACAGTTTACAATAGCGCGGTTAGCTACGTACAGTTCTAAAGATGTTCGACATACAGTACCTACATACAAGGATCGCATATGTTACTAAAACCCTAACCGATTCGGCTACTTGATAAAAAATATATACTGTACGTACTCAATGTACACCGATAATACGTACAGAAACTCGTCACGATTACACACGGTACATACTGTCTTTGTCTAGAAAAATATAAAGCAGCCTGTTATACGGCATTTCTGATTTTTGATTGCGGTGTTATACTTGCACACCCCTGCTAACGTAGCCCTAATCTTTCGTGCAATTCCAGCAAACTTCTTATGCAGTGCTTGCATATACTATACTAAGTACAAATACTCCACACAGAGACACTACAAACGCCCATCATTAACATCACACTCCGTGAACGAAGTTCACGCAGCTACTCTAACCAATGATTACGATCATATTTAACATTGCTTAAGAGAGACGGTTTAAAGGCAGACTTAACAAGATAGTAAACGTCTAAAGGTTCTATGATTTGAGGCCTGACTTAAAACCAGACGTTGAAGTGGTCTAATTTAAAATCGGAGTTGGTGCCATAATTGACTACATTTTACCAAAACTGTCACCAGTGGCAAGCCAGATAGTTGCGTTCATGAGAGTGGTCAGTTAATTAATCCGACGCAGTGTTTACAATTGGACCAACGTTGAATGTCAGCACTTCATCGCATTAATGAATTGATCACAGCCAACCTCGGACCAACATTGCATGTCTACCATACCTTAAAATTAATGTTTGAAACTTAACACGTGGCTTAATTCGATTTAAGGAATGAATCGGAGGTGTTAGGTGGTTAAATAAATAGCTGTGCAGAGATGATGATCTGCCACTTGAGAGTTTAGAGACATTTAATCCACTGCCTTCTGTTGACACTCGCAGTTGACCTCTGATCATTGGGTTCTCATATATTTGTACCTGCTCTAAAACCCCTCCAACTTGAATTGTTTAGCTCTGTCGGGTGGTGGAGGGCTATAGCACTAATTGACATAACTACACGATTTAACCCAAAATATACCAATTATGGTAATCGTAAACATTGGAAATGTCACTAACACGTGGTAGCAGGCTTTCGCGACCAATATCATCCATAATAGAGGTGTTTTTGGGTTAGATCGCGTGAATATATAAATGTTGTGTCGTTTAAACCCGCCACCACCCGACACAGCCAACTAGTAAGGATTGTCACGTAGACTGAACATGCCAATTCGTCACTAGTAAGTACAGCACATTTATATATTTACGCGATCCAACCCAAGAAAACCTCTTAGGGATTGGAAATGTCTCCTGTAAATCAACACTGATACACAACGATTAGTCCGTGCGAATGATCTATTTTGTAGACATATATGCCTACACACCCTACATACAACAGAATCCGGGTTTCTTTTGTAAGCGGATATGCCTACATCTGTCTGAAATTTTAGGTACAACCTCTTAGTATCTGCACACATTGGCTGGGGGGGCGGGGGGGGGAGAAGTAGGGGACATCGGTGGGGGCGAAGTGCTGAGAATCTCTCAGCAGGAGCTAGTGGAACAAACTCGTTAATGTAATTTTAATAGTGCACTCCGTGTGATGTGCGCAGATCTCAAACGTGACTGTGACGTTCCGGGATGGACGCGTGGCCCAGCTCGAGCACGTCTACATCCGCGGCAGCAAAATCCGCTTCCTCATATTACCGGACATGCTCAAGAACGCGCCCATGTTAAAGTCTGTCAAAAACAAAAACCCATCGGCAGGAGCCGGACGTGGCAAGGCAGCCATCCTCAAGGCACAGGGTAAGACTTGTGGCGGTGGTCTGTTGGTGTCTTGATTTTAAGTGATGTTTGCATTTTTCATTTGGCGTTGTCATGTGAGAACCTTTTGTAGTTTTGTCAGTAACTTATGAAAATATCATCGTAACTTTCTAGTCCTGTATTGCATAATTTAACTGTTATGGTGCTTGTTAAATAGCTTACTATGTTTTTGCCAGTAAGTGTCCATAAATGTTCCTAGCGAGAACAAGTTTGGAAATAAAAGACCCATGCGAACCATGTAGGATTTACATTTTCATTTGTTTTAATTTCCTAGTTTTCATTCGGTGGCAAATGACGATATTCTTCATTGCAGTGATTTGTCAATGTGGCTGAACGTTGTTGTAAGAGTGTGTAGCGTGGTGTCGTCGTGATTGGAGTGTACGTGTTGTGACGTAATCGGTTTGGTGTTTTAACTACTATTACGTTTAATATGCCATCTATTCTCTTTCTCAGTGGCAAGAGGCCGAGGTCGTGGTGGCTTCAGTCGCGGAAACATCTTCCAAAAACGCCGATAGATGGGAGGGCTGATGGGGGACCGAGATGCGAAAAACCAACTAAAAATTTATGTGATTTTGTAGAATTGCAGTCTTTGGGTGTGGCTCCAGTTTTACTGGCTCATTTTATACAACAATATTTCTGTAAACAAACGTTTTGGATGATGGTTACTTCATAGCCACACGTAAGGTGTCTTGAGTTTCAACAATAAACATTATTTTGAAATTAAAGCTTAGTTTATCACCAGCATGGTTGACTTCGTACTGTGCGAAAGACGTTCAACATACATAGCGTGATGGTATATCATTTTTCAATAAAAGTTAGCCAAAGTGGCTTTTCCCGTTTGTATGTTAATTTCCATTAAAGTGTCTGTACAAAGGACTTTGTCAGTGTTGATGCAGAGTGTACCATTTGTCATTGCTGAATGAAAGCTGGTATTTTTGTAAAACTTGTTAAGTGGACCATTACATATTAAACAAATTGGGGAAAGGAAACGATAAAACGCAAACCAAACTGAAATGGCCCCAGTTATGGGTCGGTGTGTGTGGCTTTGTCTTGATCACTGGTGGGAATGGGATCAGAATAAGGACGAAAGCCGATTTGTATTCAAACTAAATACCGTTCATCTGATGGGACTGAATGAATGCAGCGCTTTAATTTAAAACTAATGTATTCATTGGTGAACAAATATTTTGTCGTGTCGGTATTTTTTAACCTCGTTTGCAAAATTCTCCGGAATGTGTCGGGTGGTGAGATTGCATTTATTGACATGGTTTGGCCCAGAAATGCGTTACGAGGTGGAGTGTGCCCCTTTTTAATGAATAATTCAACTTTTTATATAATTGAGTTGAGTTATATTGCTATTACTGACTCTGTTGCTCGGTTGTTTCTATTATAAATCTTCATGTGCCGATTTAAAGACTGGCAATCCGAAAACAATTTTAAAAAGTAGCAAAGCGATACGTAAAATGTGCACAAGCAACAAAATCTGTGATGGCAAAGCGAGTATCGCATTTAAGTAATTTAATGTGGTGACATCACGGCGATGCTAATGATACAACACGCTCGGTGCGCGTAACATTAATATTATTAACTGACGACATACCACAAGCATAAAACCCATTTACATCTCGTCATTTTATCTTGCGAGTGCTCAAGAATTGTCACCAGTGTCTCGAGTGTGTTCATAAACGAAGATCGACAATCGCGACCACGGTTCGCTCAAACCAATACCTGTCGCAATTTTATCAGTGTCCCTAACTTGTTACAGACCAATTTAGACCTTATTGGTCACCCCGTGCCCCTTATCTCAACGTTCATCCTACAAAGTCCCATCACAAGAGATGAACAAAAGTACTCTTTGGTTCTTTCGATAAAGTCACGTAGAAATAAAATAAAACATCGCGACGTTTTATTTCTCTCCTTGGTGCTTTCGGTAAAGTCACATAGAAGGGAAATACAAATAAAACAATACAATTCTTAAGATGTTTCGGCCACAACACAAGCAGCCGTCCTCAGCTCTGTTTCTTCACCTGAGGACGGCTGCTTGTGTTGTGGCCGAAACGTGATAATTTTTATTATTTCCTTTCTACGTGACTTTACCGAAAGAACCAAGAAGATGAATCCCTGCAGTCACGAAAGCTTCAGATCAAGATAGAAACAACACATTTCTGCGCCCGTATTGAAACGGCTGTATGCCGTATGGACCTGAAAACTCAAATGTCCCTGTACAAGAATACGGGGGCTAAACCGCTCTGGTTTGACACGGCTTGCAAACCGTTCTGGTTTGACACGGCATGCAAACAGCTCTGGCTTGACACGGTATGCAAACCGCTCTGGTTTGACACGGCATGCAAACAGCTCTGGCTTGACACGGTATGCAAACCGCTCTAGGTTGACACGGTATGCAAACCGCTCTGGTTTGACACGGCATGCAAACCGATCTGGTTTGACACGGTATGCAAACCGCTCTGGTTTGACACGGTATGCAAACCGCTCTGGGTTGACACGGTATGCAAACAGCTCTGGTTTGACACGGTATGCAAACCGCTCTGGGTTGACACGGTATGCAAACCGCTCTGGTTTGACACGGCATGCAAACCGCTCAGGTTTGACACGGTATGCAAACCGTTCTGGTTTGACACGGTATGCAAACAGCTCTGGCTTGACACGGTATGCACACCGCTCTGGTTTGACACGGCATGCAAACCTTTCTGGCTTGACACGGCATGCAAACCGCTCAGGTTTGACACGGTATGCAAACCGCTCTGGTTTGACACGGCATGCAAACCTTTCTGGCTTGACACGGCATGCAAACCGCTCAGGTTTGACACGGTATGCAAACCTTTTTGGTTTGACACGGCATGCAAACCGCTCTGGTTTGACACGGCATGCAAACCGCTCTGGTTTGACACGGTATGCAAACCGCTCTGGTTTGACACGGTATGCAAACCGCTCAGGTTTGACACGGTATGCAAACCGCTCTGGGTTGACACGGCATGCAAACTGCTCTGGGCTTGCATCGGGTAATGATTCGGACATCGAGCGTGGCTTTATCGGCTGATTCTGCGCTTTACGTGAACTTGCTAAGTGGCGTCGCGAGCGTTTAACTGGACAGGCGGGATGAGTTATCGCATCGCAGGACCGGGAGGGATATAAAGTTCGCCTCGCCTCCCCCCGGAGGGAGACCGGGAGGGATATAAAGTTCGCCTCGCCTCCCCCCGGAGGGAGACCGGGAGGGATATAAAGTTCGCCTCGACTCCCCCCGGAGGGAGACCGGGAGGGATATAAAGTTCGCCTCGACTCCCCCCGGAGGGAGACCGGGAGGGATATAAAGTTCGCCTCGCCTCCCCCCGGAGGGAGACCGGGAGGGATATAAAGTTCGCCTCGACTCCTCCCGGAGGGAGACCGGGAGGGATATAAAGTTCTCCTCGACTCCCCCCGGAGGAGACCGGGAGGGATATAAAGTTCGCCTCGACTCCTCCCGGAGGGAGACCGGGAGGGATATAAAGTTCTCCTCGACTCCCCCCGGAGGAGACCGGGAGGGATATAAAGTTCGCCTCGACTCCCCCCGGAGGAGACCGGGAGGGATATAAAGTTCTCCTCGACTCCCCCCGGAGGAGACCGGGAGGGATATAAAGTTCGCCTCGACTCCTCCCGGAGGGAGACCAGGAGGGATATAAAGTTCTCCTCGACTCCCCCCGGAGGAGACCGGGAGGGATATAAAGTTCGCCTCGACTCCCCCCGGAGGGAGACCAGGAGGGATATAAAGTTCGCCTCGACTCCTCCCGGAGGGAGACATCCGTCCCGCGGTGGGTGGATTTGACCCACGACTTGATGACGAATAAGCAAGCGGCGAATGTGCGGTTGGCGAACGCGGCCGCCCGCTGTCCGCGAAGACGAATGTCGCCGCGCCGAACGAGGGCGACGCGTTTACCTTCACCATAACAACCGGGCACGCGCACGTCGGCGCAATTTTCATGAAGTTTAAAATCATTTTTTAGTATATATCTCTCTCTCTAAACGAATGCGAGCGTAGTTATTACGTTCGTAAGTTTGGGGCGCTCAAATTCCGAGTAGGCCCTACGGGGAGTTGTCGAGACCTCGGCGCTCGGATAGTTTTCTCCCGCGGGGTTTCGGCGCCAGCCCCTAGCGGCGCGACCTGCCGAATGTGGATTTGTGTGTTTTTTAAGTTGTAAAAATTGTGCTCGTTCTGGTGGGTCCAATATCTCCTGGACAAAACAAAGCGTCATGTTTAAAGCCAAGATACTGGTGGTGGGTCCTGTAAAGGTAAGTACAGTACACGATCTCGTAATGCAGTACATACTATCGTTTCACAAATAATGATTTGCAATTGTTGAGCGCTGAAGTGCCACCGTATGTCAGCGTTTTGCAGAGTTCACTTAACGTTTATGTGGTCGCATACAGGGTGAAGGTGATGTTATAGCGGGTGCAGCGAAATGCTTGAGTCGTCAGCTCCACAATACAATAAAATGCCGAACAAATAAACAAAAATTTGAAAAAAAATATTTTAAAAAAATCACGAACTCAGCTCCAGTAATATATAACGTAAATGCATACACTTTACAGTTATGTAAAACGTCTATGACCAGTTCACCCAGCCAGAATGCGCCTATACTTTGAAGTTTCTTGGCTAGGATATTAGTTGAACGGGTGACCTGCTGACCCACCATGCACAGACAGATTGCCAGAGGGCTGCGGGGCTACCTGGTGGGCAGAGCAGAACAAGTCATTGTTGACTGTACTTCTGTACGCCCACGTATATGATCATCCCCGCCTTCGACAACCCTCACGAACCAAGGCGTCGCTCAGTGGTTGCACAGTTTCACGGTTGGAAGCCAGCAGCCGCCCTGATTATTATTGCTGGGGGTACATATTAACAATAATCATGCTGCTGCTACCACCACGCGCTGCCGGCTTCTTCACGGTGGACATTAAAGATGCCCTCTGGCGTCGTTCGCAAAAGCAGGCCACAGTGTACCGGCATCACGGTACAAATTGGCCCTGTTGTGAAGTGACCTACACATTATAATGCGTCGTAATCATTGCCGCGGACTGGCAGACTGATGCCCCACACGGTTAAACTAAATGAACTTAGCACTTGAACGCGCGGTGAAATGTGGTCAGATAGCCCAGGTGTGGAGAGGCCCGCATCCGGCAGTGGATTGACAAAACGTGCTCTATGTGTAACATGTATGTTCCCTTGAAGACATCACCTGCAACGGAGATCCATGTAAGATGTTGTGTCTCGTGCCCCTGTGTCTTCTCCTACGCCAGAGCGGCAAGACGACCATGGCGAACTTCTTAGGCGATGCCACGGAGGCGGTGGGGGGTGAATACAGCCCCACGCAGGGCGTGCGGTGAGTTTCACAACTCTCCTGCCTTATTTACTATGCTTGTAATCGGTCCCGAGAGCTGGGCTGTCTGAATATTTTAAGGCATCGATTACTCGCTAAGCGGATAACATGAAAATAGTTGGGAGAAAAAGTTTAACCTCTGTTCGTCAACAGTGTGCCACTCGACGAGAAGTAATGAGCAGAGTTTTGGGACGTCATAAAAATCATCCCTTAAAAGAAAACAAGAAAATCTTCACTCTAATTGGGGTTTAATTTCAGCTGGGACTTTACGGGTTGGTTACCCGAACAATATATATGCACTTGGCACACCACATCCACTATACCTCGCTATGGCTCTGGCTGCGGCTGCTAGTCATGTGCTGCCTCCCGTTCTTTCAGCTAACTACAGAGTATGGTAGCCATGACTGCAATAATCTGTAGTGAGATTGTCGATTGCCTGTGTCTGTGATGTTATGTTATCAAACATGCAGCATCCTGGAGTTTGAGAGCGGCACGGTGGACGTGAGTGGGAGGGCGGTGACCTGTGAGGTGGAGCTGTGGGACTGCAGTGGAGACATGAAGTGAGTCCGACAGCCCCACTGTATGGGCAAACCTCACACGGACTAGGTTACTGGAGGCCGAGGGGACGACCTCCATCATCAAGACTCAGGAATAGGAAGGGAACCCACTTGGTGCCGCCAGGAGGCGCCCCTCGGAAGGAAGCTTCCATGGAGATGCTGCCAGGAGGGACGGGACTCCTAAGAAAGGAGTCTCGTCAAGGAACATGAACCATCACGCGAACTCCGATCGTTCTCGCAGCGGCTTTTGGCGAGCCATTGAACAAAGACAGCCACTGAATCGCGCGTGTTGAGATGCGCTTCTGCAGCCACCTGAAATGCTCTTCCTTCCGATATTAGGAAGCCACTGGAGCAATGCCGTTTTAAATCTAGATTGAAAACTCGTTTCTTAAGAACTGTTTTTTGTTGGTTGTCTTTCCCCCACACTTCCAATTAGCACAGTTGGCTATGTACGGTGAGAAATAAGTTAAAAGAAGCTTGCCAGGAGGGACCCTGGGTATTGGCGCTTTAGGATGGATGCTGCTCTACACCCTGCCTCGGCGTATACTCCCACGCTTGACTTGATGCGTGGGGTGCCGGATTGGCTTTGGGTGAAGTGGCTGCAATGCTCATGCCACCAGGTTCGAGGCTTGCTGGCCGGCGCTGCAGAGGGACGTGAGCGGCGTGATGCTGGTGTTCGATGCGGAGCAGGCGAGCCACGCGCGCGAGCTGGAGGCGTGGCACACCGCCTTCGTCCTGCAGCCACGCCTGCAGGAATCGCAGTGCCTGCTGGTCGCGCACCACAAGCCTGGCAGTGACGCCAGCCGCCCTTTGCCGGGCCTCGGTGAGCGTGCCGCTCCACCTGGATTTTACGGTGTTGGTGGTGACAATAATGACGCATCGCACTTACAAGCCAGTGCTTTGCATGTGGAGGTTGGCGGATCATGCCACGATTATCAGGTGTGTAAAACACTCACTGTGGACGGCAGAACATCAGAAGCTCTGCTTGCCTCTGTTATTTATCCTTATGTTTGAATGCACCAAATATCCATAGTAGTGTTCTCCTGGGAAAGTCTCGAGACTTTTGTGGGCAAAGAACTCCTCTTCATCTTGAGCTGTTTATGCACTGCTGGATGTTGCCATCTCTTGCAGTCCTATGGTACTCCTTCAGATGAACTGTTTTAATCACTCAATATCTGCAGCAGTTGTTTTGCCTGGCACATCCTCTACTTTGGAAAAGGTCTTCCTTATTATTTATGCGGTCACATTTAGGTCCTTTATATACACAAATATTCATTTTTTTTGGTAATACAATCCATTCTTCATATTGATGGAATTGCACGAAGATGAAAATGCCATGTGTAATGATCATAAAGCCTGAACATAAAAATTGAGGGACAAACCATAATTTTCTCTTTCAAGGTCGCATTGTCTGAACTCTCCTGCACATTCACACACCCTCCTCCTCTGTCTGCCCTGCTCCCTGTTACCCCACAACAGGGGTGGCCCTTTCCAAGCTCCCGCTGGTGATATCCGATCTGGAGGAAGCACCGGAGAGCCTGAGTGAGGAGTTCCGTGCCTTCCTGGGGCGGCTCGTGAGCAGCATGTCCGACAGCCGTGACCGGGAGGAGCTGTCTATCGTGGGCTCGTGAAAAAAAATCTACTATAATTTTCTTTGGCAAAACCAGCCCACCTCCCTCTTGAGTTGCCAAGCCATCCAGAGGTACACAAAAACCCAGGACTAATGGGAAGAAGAATTTCAAAAATAACTTGTTAAATTCATTGTCTTGAGTGGTGTATTTTTTGCGCAGCTGACAAAATCCGAGCCTTATAATGTCCCAGGAAGACGGATAGATCTCCCAGGACCAACTACCTCAAAAAGAGGTGCTGGGAAAAATCAGGACAGGTGGAAACCCGACCCCCAACTGAGCACACACCTCTCATTGGTACGGTCTACAACAGCAACTTTAATTTGTAACGTAACCAACATCGTCGAAAACGAGGTTACATGACAAGGATGGGAGGGAATGGGACACTTGCTGGAAGAAATACATTGAATATCAGAATTAAATTAACACTAATGTTATGTTTTTGTGTTGACAATGGGAGTGTGAAATCTGATTCAAATGACACTACTGAGGCACTGTCAAAGGGCGTATTTTTTAGTGTGTACTTTAAAAAATGTGCTTTGGTGTCATTTTCTCGAACAGATCGATCTATTTGTCATACGTACGTCAAGACAGTTTTGATTTTTAGTGATGACGTTCATGATCGCCGTTTTGTTTTGTCTTCTCGTTCAGAATTATAAATAAAGAGAAAATCTTTTTTTAAGCTTTGTTGTCGTGTTCAGTTTGTAAACGCGTGTCGCATTGCTGTAATTTTGCGCTACCAAAAAAAACACAAAACGAGTGTCAGCAACATTCCTTGCATGGCAGAGCGGTAACTGCGAGAAGAATGCCTTGTGGCCCGGGAAAGCCTCAGGCCTCGGAGAAGGGGCGTGTGTCTTTGACACTTGGCCAACTGGTCTTGAATTTAAAACTGTCGTCTCCTTAGAGTTCATTTCAATGGTGAGCCGACGTAACGCCTGTGTGTGTTTGTGTGTGGTCCAAACGAAATCAAATTTAGTGCAGTTTTTTTGTCGAGTCTGCACAGGCACAGTCACCTGACGTCAAGGTTTTGCGTGTGCCCAGTGCTACGTTGTCTTCTTTTATTCCTCGCCGATCCAATGAAGTCCAAGATGAGGATATTCATGTTGATCAGCCTCTCCTGTTGGATTACTGGTAATCCTGTGGACGGACGTGAGTAAAACGCACGCAGATTCTAGATTTGAAGTTTTCGTGACTGCAATGATCCATACTCTTTGGTTCTTTCGGTAAAGTCACGTAGGTAAAAATACAGTTAATCAAATCACGACGTTTCGGAGGCAACACAAGCTTCCGTCATCAGGTGTAACTAGCACAGCAAAATTACCCTATGTAATAATCTCTTATTACAAATATCTCCCTTTACAGTAATTTTGCTGTGCTAGTTACACCTGATGACAGAAGCTTGTGTTGCCTCCGAAACGTCGTGATTTGATTAACTTTATTTTTTACTTACGTGACTTTACCGAAAGAACCAAAGAGAATGCACACAGATTTTAAACGTTTCGTAATCTGTGATGCCACCAGTGATTGCACTCAACATTCACGTGCATCTGTCGGATATGTGTTCAGGTTGTACCTTGTGTGCTTGTTCTGCATGGTGTCTCACGACGTTTTGCTACATGTGCTGGAGAGGTGAATTTAAATCTGGGGGGGGGGATATATAATGGAAGAATAGGTTAGAGTGTAGTACCGGATGGCTTTAGCACATGGAGCAAAGCGTTGGACATCATGCCAAGAACAACACTGACCAACCTGAAAACATCAGATAGCTATGTATATATATAAAACTGTGAAAACGTACGTAGTAGTAACATTTGTGCGTCTTGTGTTTACAGAGACAGCGGCTGCTGCAGAGGACTGCCCATACCCGAAAATCTGTTCCAGCTCTGGTAAAGTGCTTTGGTTCATGAGCTCTTGCCTTGAATTCCCAGAGGCACTGGGAGCCCAAGTGAAAACTTGACAGTTGTGTTTGTTGCGGGACACTTCATTGTAGACGAGACAACCCTGAACCCATCGCATGCCACCTGCCGATCGTCTAACCGGTGGACTCATTTGTACTGCCAGGCAGGCAGAGGAAGGGACATTTAATGGACATTACAACTGTGGTGCATGTGAACTGAACTTTTCACCGAGGCAGCAATCATTTGAATGTATTTGCCTCGAAGCAATAAACTCTACGTTTGTTTTCCTATACATTGCCCACAGAGCCGCTGAACCCCGTGGTAGTGTGCGGCCCCTCCGAGATGACAGTGCTGCTGAGGCGCTGCGTGCTGGAGGCCCTGGGCCACACCGGCGCCGACCTACAGCTGTTGAACCCGGCTTGTGCACCGAGCGCAGCCTGCTATGCCGGCGAACCCTACGTGCGCTTCTTGGTGCCGCACGACAACCCCTGCGGCAGCACCCTGAGTGTAAGGCGAAGGGGGGTGCGGCAGGGAGGGCTTAGTGGTACCACAGAGGGGCTGTGTCGCGATCGGCTCGCGCACGCGACAGTGAGGGAAAAAAGTATTTGATCCCCTGCTGATTTTGTACGTTTGCCCACTGACAAAGAAATGATCAGTCTATAATTTTAATGGTGGGTTTATTTGAACAGTGAGAGACAGAATAACAAAAAAATCCAGAAAAACGCATGTAAAAAATGGTATCAATTGATTTGCATTTTAACGAGGGAAATAAGTATTTGACCCCTCTGCAAAACATGACTTAGTACTTGGTGGCAAAACCCTTGTTGGCAATCACAGAGGTCAGACGTTTTTTTGTAGTTGGCTACCAGGTTTGCACACATCTCAGGAGGGATTTTGTCCCACTCCTCTTTGCAGATCTTCAAGTCATTAAGGTTTCGAGACTGACGTTTGACAACTAGAACCTTCAGCTCCCGCCACAAATTTTCTATAGGATTAAGGTCTGGAGACTGGCTAGGCCACTCCAGGACCTTAATGTGCTTCTTCTTGAGCCACTCCTTTGTTGCCTTGGCCGTGTGTTTTGGGTCATTGTCATGCTGGAATACCCATCCACGACCCATTTTCAATGCCGTGGCTGAGGGAAGGAGGTTCTCACCCACTATTTGACGGTACATGGCCCCGTCCATTGTCCCTTTGATGCGGTGAAGTTGTCCTGTCCCCTTAGCAGAAAAACACCCCCAAAGCATAATGTTTCCACCTCCATGTTTGAAGGTGGGGATGGTGTTCTTGGGGTCATAGGCAGCATTCCTCCTCCAAACACGGCGAGTTGAGTTGATGCCAAAGAGCTCCATTTTGGTCTCATCTGACCACAACACTTTCACCCAGTTGTCCTCTGAATCATTCAGATGTTCATTGGCAAACTTCAGACGGGCATGTATATGTGCTTTCTTGAGCAGGGGGACCTTGCGGGCGCTGCAGCATTTCAGTCCTTCACGGCGTAGCGTGTTACCAATTTTTCTTGGTGACTATGGTCCCAGCTGCCTTGAGATCATTGACAAGATCCTCCCGTGTAATTCTGGGCTGATTCCTCACCGTTCTCATGATCATTGCAACTCCACGAGGTGAGATCTTGCAAGGAGCCCCAGGCCGAGGGAGATTGACAGTTCTTTTGTGTTTCTTCCATTTGCGAATAATCGCACCAACTGTTGTCACCTTCTCACCAAGCTGCTTGGCAATGGTCTTGTAGCCCATTCCAGCCTTGTGTAGGTCTACAATCTTGTCCCTGACATCCTTGGAGAGCTCTTTGGTCTTGGCCATGGTGGAGAGTTGGGAATCTGATTGATTGCTTCTGTGGACAGGTGTCTTTTATACAGGTAACGAGCTGAGATTAGGAGCACTCCCTTTAAGAGTGTGCTCCTAATCTCAGCTCGTTACCTGTATAAAAGACACCTGGGAGCCAGACATCTTTCTGATTGAGAGGGGGTCAAATACTTATTTCCCTCATTAAAATGCAAATCAATTTATAGCATTTTTGACATGCGTTTTTCTGGATGTTTTTGTTGTTATTCTGTCTCTCACTGTTCAAATAAACCTACCATTAAAATTATAGGCTGATCATTTCTTTGTCAGTGGGAAAACGTACAAAATCAGCAGGGGATCAAATACTTTTTTCCCTCACTGTATACGCCACGTCAGCATCGTCAATCGTTGTTTTGGCCGTGGTCGATCCACTATTGACTGAAGGTCTCCCCAAACCACTGCCATTTCTCAAGGTGGAGATGTCATGAAGGCCAAAAGCTTTTGATGCCACCACACCTCGGGTGTTATAGGCTGCTGAGGGCCTATGTTGATAGTGCAGCAGAATCCAATGCTGGATGATACTAGTCACATCTATGCTCCACGCGTTCAACCTGCACTGAACCAGCGTGAATTACGGTCAAATAACCCTCATGACCCACATGGTGTGCGAGGAGGCCCTCATCTAGCAGTGGAGTGATGATGGCTGTACATTATCGGGCAGTGATATAGCGCGTTCTCAGCTTGTTGCAGAGGTTCGCAGTTTGAATCCGGCAGGCCGCCCTGGTTAATATTGCGGGTGACAGTGGATGTTAAAGATCCGTTGCCGTCCATCGAAACGAGTCGGCCACTGTGTGCCAGCATCATGGTCCAAATTAAATTGCAAGAAAATAACTCAATTCGGATTACACAGAAGCGTCGCCCCCTACTTTTAAGCTACCAGAGACGATGTGAAACAAAGCACCTTAATGGTAGCTTTGTTCTATAAGAATGGTGCGAATATCAAATGTCGTGGGTTATATATTTTTCGAGACATCCGTTTTTCTGTGATGCCCCTTTTTCCAGGAAACAAACGCATCCATCGTCTTCAGAAACGCCGTGTTGAGCGTTGAGAACGTGGGCGAGTCGTGGCGAGCCAAACGCATCCATCTCGAGTTCTCCTGCTCCTATCCAGCGGTCGCCTCGCTGAAGCTCGGGTCCCCTTCTAACACTGTCCCGCCAGGATCTATGCCACAGGTCAATTTGGGCATTGTGCCAACAGTACAATCGGTGCCCGGAACGACCACAAAATCGATTGGTCAGTTACCTGTTTCAAGGCAGAATTCCACATCGGTTCTGAGACAAAACAACCAACCGGTGCTCGGAACGACCACGAAATCGGCCGGCCAGTTACCTGCTTCAAGGCAAAATCCCACATCGGCTCCGAGACAAAACAACCAACCGGTGCCCGGAGCAACCACGAAATCGGCCGGCCAGTTACCTGCTTCAAGGCAAAATCCCACATCGGCTCCTAGACAAAACAACCAACCAGTGCCCGGAACAACCACGAAATCGGCCGGCCAGTTACCTGCTTCAAGGCAGAATCCCACATCAGCTCCGAAACAAAACACCCAACCGGTGTTTGGACAGACCAGCCAACTTGGATCTGGACAAAATAACACAGCCAGTCCTGGAAAAACCTTCCAAGCCGGTTCCACAAGGGCCACACAGGCCCAGTTTAGTGGCATAGTTCCAAAGAATGCTCTCCTGCTTGCCTTAAATGGACGGTAAGTTTAAATGCAAATCGAGAATAACTAGTTTAACACGTAGGCTTTCGCGACCAATATCATCTACGAGGTTTTTGGGTTAGATCGCGTGAATATATAAATGTTGTGTCGTTAAAACCCGCCACCACCCGACACAGCCAACTAGTACGGGTTGTCACGTAAACAGAACATGCCATCTTCTAAATTTATTGATGCGATCTAACCCAAAAACCTCTATTATGGACGAGAATAACTATATGGGCAATTGTCAAAGGAGATTCTGCTCATGTAGGTTTTAGTGGTTGTGATGTATAGTTCTCCGGTGTTTTCAGGTTGTACGGCATTGTTGTTTGGCGTGATGTCTGACGTTTTGCTCCACGTGCTGGGAGCTTCAGGGAGCTTCCTTCAATCTGAAGAAACTTCGAAAGTACATGGAGTGAAACAACGGGCATCATGACAAACAACATGCGGTGCAACCTGAAAGAGCGTAGGAGAATGAAGAGCTGAGAGGTGTTTGTGTAAGAAGGGGAGGTGGCTGAGGAGTGGTAGTGTAGTGAAATGGTTAGTGAGCTGAGCTGCGACCCGAGGTAGATTCCTGCTCATGGCCAACACCAGTGACGATCATCTGAACTGATCCTGGGCCTTCCCAGGATCAACTCGGCTTGAAATGAGTAGCTGGTGCGGTGTGTAAACATTTCCATTAGGGAGACGAAAGTGGCCAGGTGTGATGCTGATCACCCAGCCGTTCGTGTGCCGTGCCGGCCTTGATAGGTGCTCGCAAACAGCACTTGCCCCAAGTCTGTTAAGGCTATACGAGGGGGGGGGTATCTTTGTCGGTGTCTCATTCTGCTTCTCTTCTCGCACTGCTCGGCATTGAAATTCCCACCCATCGTCTCTTTTCCAAAAGTTCTTAATTTAAGATAATCCCTTGCGATGGAACAACCCATGTGCAACACAGTCCCATGCACCTTACTCAATTCAAGGGATGCATTAACTCTCATCTGTCGTACCATCAATGGTGCTAATTCATGCTGGCCCGCTGGTGCTTTGGGTCTCTGGACCTTTGTTCAGTAACTGTGATTTTTATGAAGGTGCTCGTCTTGTTCTTCCCAGCTCGTGTAGAAGCACTCATGATCCCGGCGCCCTGCTGCTCCTGGCGAGCGTTTTGTTCACACTCATCTTCGTAGGTAAAGAATTGCACTGCACATGCAGCGTTACAGCGGCTGTTGTGGCCACGTGAGATGTATTGGTCAAGAGTACCTTCCAGTATTTAGCAGTGCAGCAAAAAGGTTCACCAACCCATCTGTGCAGAGCTTACCATTTTGATGCACTGGTATGCATGGGTTTCCTCCCATGAGCAAAGCAATTATTTTAAAGTGATTGGCCAAACATCTTCAAGTAGGACTCTCCTGAAGAAGTCTAAAGACTGAGGCTTTTCTGGATGAATACATGGCATTGTTTTACTACTTTAATAATAGTATAAACATCTTTATTAAAAAGATACCTTTTATTTACTTTACAGTACAAAAATGAAGCTTCAAGTGGACAAAAACACTGGAACAGTTCTCCTTATAAAGCATCCTCATTTGACGATACTGATTAGGTTTATATAAATGCACACACACAAAACTTAATTTTTTACATCACCAGTAGATTTGTGTAAACCGTGACAATTAACCTTTAAACATATAATTTAAACGATTTATCCCAATATCTCAATATCCTCATAATAAAAAAATGACAGAAATTATTATCGTTTATTTTTTAACTCTAAAATAAGGGCGACGGTTGATAGTCACGTAAATATCGCATGCCATGGGGCTGCCAGGAGCCCCGCCAACACAAACAGCAGGACCAGGATCATTCCCTGGGCTATTGCGTATCCGTTTGGGTGGCCTAGTGTAGGAAAAGCACAAATATGGTGAGATACAATTAGACCTGAGCTTATCACACTGGAACACAATTGTAAAATATCACTGCATGTATAATTATAAAGCACATTGATGGCCAGTGTTCCCTTTGGAACAATACCAGAGTGGGCCCTCTAAAAATCCAGAAAATAATTGCAATTCGTGAGGTTTACATTAAAGATCGCTCAACCCACATAAGAGGCACTGGGTGTTTTTTTTTAAATGTCACGTATAAGGAATCTGCTGCCCTGGTGTAAAGGACAACACATTGAACTTGCAACACAGAGGTTGCCGGTTTAATCTCTTGTCACGACAGTTTAAACAATGGTGCAACGTTTCATAAAATCCCGCAACCTGTCCAGCTAGCAGTCTAAACGTGTGCACCACCACGGTCAATTCAGCAAGTGGCTTGTGGTGGGTTAAAGTGTGGGTACTTTTGAGACGCAGGCCAAATACCCTCTATAGAGTGGCTCTCTTGAGCTCACCCTAATGGAGGTGCATCCGCCAGCTGTAGCGTGGGAATGCAATTGCAGGGCTACACCTTTTTACTTTACATCTAAGACCTTACCAAATGTGTGTGTGTGTGAGCGCGCACGTAAGCGAGCATGTGCTTCACGCATTGTATTCGTATACTAATGTACCAGCCTGGGGTAAAAATTGCAGCTGTGGGCATTTTAAAATCTGTAGCTGAATAAATCGACGTACGGACAGGGCCGTGCCTACCTTTATACGTGGTGATGAACGGAAGGGCGAGCTCAGGCCAGCACACGTCGTTTCGGCTGCAGTCAAACTCCGTGTAGTTGAGTTGAAACCTGGTGTGGGGGAGAAAGACGTGACCGCGGCCCTGGATTCCCATTTTGATGAAACGGCCGAAACACATTCCGGATGCTAGCCCGACCTCCAACCCTAACCAAATAACCACCCTCAACACCCTACTCGTTACCCTACATCTAGCACTATCCCACGATGGCCTTCTTCATGTTTTGTTCGATTTTCAGTTTTGTTGTCACACAAACATCCTTTGTCAAATAAAGAGAAACTGTATTAAAAAAAACTTTCACATTTCACATTTGACCATTGCATCACCTCATCACCTCTTCGGGGGTCGATATTCCACTTTGGGAAATTCTATGCAGAGCCTGGCCATCTCCATCGCAAGGTGGAATTTTAATCGCTGTCTCAGCACCACCAAATGGAGATGACCACCATCCAATGCTTGTTTAAGTGTGGGGACACATTAACTTTTTTCACACCCTTGTCTAAATGTTACCTGCTCTTCTCGTGTTAACGTTTTACCATTTTTCTCCGAGACGCATTCAGAAATACAGCTGCCTATGTTCTTGAATGGCTGGGTGGAGTGAGAAGGAGATGGGAGATAAATGAGGGTAGTGGGTAAAACGACCCCAGTACCTGGTCTGCGGGGATGTCAGTGTCGTGGCCACGCGGATAAACTCCACGGAGCTGGTGAGGGGGAAGGACTGCAAAAACGACGTGTTCACACACGCCGCCCCTTCGGCGCCGCTACACGACAGCTGCCACGTCGCCTTGCTCACACTGGGGGTCAGGACACATCGTGCGAGGCCGCGCGAGTAACACTGCTCCACTGCGCCATGCTCACACGAGCCCTCCGTGGGTTGCAGAGTGGCCATCAAGTGAATGTAAGCCAGTCTGTGCACACCTTTGAAGTTGTATTACCATGTATGCATGCATACGTGATTTTTGCCAGGTAATGTGGATTCCACCTATAAGCAAAATGGTCTTTAAAATGAAAGGACTCGCCTGATAGACAGTATTGAGACCCGGGGAGACCATTCTGGATACATGACGTATTGATCACGTTTTTTTACCTCCAGCAATCTCACATCCGCACCTCTGATTATCATAATTAGCTACGTACAGTGCAAAAGAAGTTCAACATAGATACACAGCTGTATGAGGGCAAGGCTATTAGCTGCGTGGGTTATAAACGAGGCTGTAATAGCTTAAGGCAGCAAGGGAAGCACTGGGCTGGCGGGTAAGGGTGCGGTGCGATCAATTACCTGACTTGCACATCAACTATTTCCATCTGGGGCTCCCTCTCCACGTTTCCCACCATGGCGGTGAGCACGCGGATGTGCAGGCGAGCCGGCACTTCTGCACACATTCCACGCCTCTCGGTTGAGTTTACTGAGCTTTCGTTTTTCAGGGCTACAGAACAGAGGTCACAAATAATCGTCTCTGCGTTACCATGGAACACAGGTGAAGCTAGTCTCCAAGCGCTGTGCTGCTATTGCCTCGGACCTGAGTGGGTCGGTCTGTGGTGAAGTGAATCGGATTCGTGCATTCAACCATTTCTCTCGTGAAGCCTCATCTGCAGGGTGCCACTTGCATCACTTATAACAAGGCTGCATTTCATCTTGGGCACATATGTTCGCCTCAACCCTACCACATCAAACTATTCTGCAGTTTTCTCATCACGAGCTGATAGTTTAAGCCTAATAGACGATGCCGTGGAGACGTAATTAGTAAGTGCAAAGTGAATGAAAGGTCAGCGAAAATAGTATTTCACCGTGCAAATCTAGAATATGCAATCAATGTACATATAATATGGGTAAAAAAACAATGTTGCCAGACTCCTTACCCACACCCGTAAACATATAACTGCAATATGCAGTCCGCAGACTCGCAATTTAATCTCAGATCTATTTCAAGATCACCCTCACCATCTTCAAATCCTTGACGCGCTCGCCCTTGCCGACCCCTCTCTTATCACTCTACTCCCCTCCACGCATTACTACTCTAGCAACAACGCCACCACCCTCAGTGGGAAGTCGCTCATTCTCCTCTGCTGCCACCCCCCACCCACAGTCTGAAACTCTTTCCCCAGCCGTCCATTTTGTCAACTCCCTTCCCCTGTTCAAGGCCTGGCCCAAAACCTTCCTGTTCTCCACGATAAAATATGGGCACCGTTTCTGTACAACATCCTGAGGTGCGGTCACATTTAAATGCTCTATAAATGCAAAGTGTAATTGTATTGTATCATCCTCGGTGCCAACGAGTCCAGACACTGCAGCAACATACCATGTTTGTCTAAGCTGATCCACTCAGTAGTGTCCTTGGGGTTGGAGTTGCCACGTCGGCCAACAAAATTTGCAGAAACCAGGCGATGCCATTCCTGCAGGATATTATGCCTACAACAAACAACACAATTGTTACAATGGCATCTATCATTGGGCACTTTATCAATCATTCACATAAAGAGGTTCTGTATCAACGTCATGAATTACAAATTTAATGAATACTTCCATTTTCATCTCATTTGCTGCGTGGTTACATTGTGGGCAGCAGAAGAAGTGTGACATATTAAACCATTTTTGTACTGTACTATGCTCCTGTATCTCTACTGTCCACCTTAACTAACCCGCACCGACCAGCATGGTGAAGTATGGTCAAGTAACTGCCACAATCTGAATATCGTGGGGAGGCCCTCATCCAGCAGTGGACTGACAAAAGGTCTATTCCATACACATTGCTGAGTAGAGATCACATTCATCACCATTTGTTACTGTCTATTACCATAAATAATCACAGTTGGGTGATCGTTGCAGCATTTAATAATCATGGTAATATGCGCGAGACATCAAATAATTCACATTTAGCATGCACCTGATGTCAGTGCAATTATTCAGGTCGAGAAATCCAAGGCGGAGGAGGCACCCGGATATTGAGTTCTCGCCGAACTTCACCTGCGTCGTTTGGGCCTCGGCGCACAGGCTGGAGCCCACTGATATCACAGCAGAGGAGAGTGCGTTATGTCATCGCACAATACGAACTTTTGCCCACGCAGCTGTTGTGATACGAGATACGCGAAGCACTTTTCTCAATGAGCAGCGTTTTAACATGGGCCTCGCGATCAGTCCAAAGCCTCCACTGCTCTTCGACGTGTTATTGGGTTGTACCGGGCATACATCGGACAGCAATTCGACACAACCGGCAAAAACCTGGTACAATTGCTCAATATTTACATTGTTATATCAGGGGGGAACCAGGAAGAGGCACTCACCAGGGTACCAAAGGTGGAGTCCCTCAGTTAGGTTGACACTCCCGTTTTTAACAGACGTCAACAGCGGCTTGCCCACTAGGTATCCTTTGGAGGGAAGGAATGATAACAGTGAAACATTTTAACTGATAAGTGACTGAAAAAACATAAATGTGTTCTGTAAAAGTTCAACCTTCAATTAAATAAATTTCACAAATATGCGTAAGCACCCACCCGGGTTTCCAGACCGAGGTGTAATCTGCAATCCGTTGACAGGATTTATAAACTGCACAGAGAATTCCTGTACCAGTGGGGCTGGAATGCAGAATAATCACAACATTCAAACGGTGACATTGAAATATTGAGTGCAAACAAAATTAGTGCATCGATAACTCTCATTGAAGGTGTCCATACAGTAAATATGGTGCGTGAGGATTTGCTGACCGTTGTTCGTAAGACTGACGTTCGCCAAAGTTATTTTGGCATGAACGTGATACACCGAGAAGTTCTTCCAAGTCACCTCGTAAGTCACAGCCACCACCGCGTTAATGCACATTTTGTCCAATTGGTAGGTCGGCAAGCATTCTATAACAGGATGACAGGGACAAGACGGGCATAAATGATCCTGCATGTGCATCGATCACCCACATATGCTGGCACACCTTTTTAATCCAATGCTTCAGAAGAAAAGGTAAATGGTTGAGAGATCACATGGATTTGTAATCCAGATGACAATATCCATGCTTTGTGCCTCTGTGGACCTGCTACAGTAGTTGCTACACATCTGCGATTGGCGCAACACCTGACCAATCCATTGTATTCAATTTAAGTCCAGTCATAGATTCTTTTGAGATGAAACACGTGGCAAGGGGAGGGGATGTACGGCCTGCCCTTATTTCAATCATGAATGCAAGTTTGGTAATATTTTTGTTGGCCAGATGGATGTCCCTATTGTTATTTTATTTATATATCTACTTGTGTATCAAATCACAACTTAGCCAATACATCCACAATATATCAACATGATGGAAATGGTGGCTTCTGCGTGCTGTCAGCCTTGCGCATACATCTGAGCACCAACCTCGTTCAGCGAGCTGCATGGAGGCTCCCAGCACTGACAAAAAGCACGTCTTATTGTCCACATCTGTCAACGGCAAACACCACAATTAGAAACACGCACATTTGTAAACGGCATTCACCTCTGTATGTTTTCTACCCCGAGTGTGAAACATTTTATTTTCCAGCACTGTGCAGCTAACGAACAATCAAACCCGTTACTTTGCGTGTTTTCTTGTTGTGAATTCAATAGCTGGCACCTTCAAATAAAGGAAACATGAGTCGACTGCTCAAAGAATGGGACCCAGGCCCTCTCTAGCACGCGCGGTGATAGCGTGTTGCCTTGGAGTAAAAGTTGCAGTGACATTTTTACCTTTGGAGTAGGCGTCAATGCTGTGCAGGTCGCTATTTGTACACAGCAGTTGAAGCGGACCCAGCACACAGCGAGAGGTGACGTCCTTCAGGAAGGAAATGGGGGCTTTCTGCAAGCAGTGACCAGCCAGCGTGGCCTGGCCAATGAAAGCCAAGTAAAACAATTTCTCAAAACATTTAATTTGCTCCCCTAATTACTTGAAAGCACAGGTAGCAGGCATTTGTGAGCACATGATCAACATTAGTTGCTGGTGTTGTGGGTTGCTGTTTGTAAATTATATTTTTCAATTTAAGTAGAGACTAGTGCATATCATGTGATTCACATGAACTCGATCAGATTGTCTCGAAAAACTCAAGCTCATGTGAGTTGAGCGCAATGTATATTTTGAGCTTTACCCGCGGCAAGGTCAAAAGACGATTCTGGGCTCGGCATGTTGGGCTGCCCTGCTCCATGTGGACGTTTGTTGATGAGCAGGGGGCGTTTGCCTGGCCTGTTCTCTCCTTGGCAAACGAAGGGCTCGCAGGAATCTGGCCCAACTTTGTCTGCAGTGCATCTCTCGTCCTGTTGGGTTGATGGAATGCATGTTTCTCGTCAGCCTCATGCCTGCATTAGCGGCACCACCACTAGAACATTGCAATATTATGGAATGGGCGTATCAATTGCTGATTCTCAAGATGCTCTTTGTGGCTCATTTGTTGACTATATTTCACCATACTGGTCAGTGTTGGTCGGTAAAGGTGGACAGCATAGATGCAGAGGCATACTAGCACAATACAACAATGCATTTTTTCTGCACTTATTTCGCTGCCCAATACCTAGCCCCCGCAAGCCCCAATGACAACCTTGTGCAGTGGTCACCCATCCAAGCACAATCCAGGCTCAACCCTGCCTTAGCTTTGAAGATCTGTTGAGATCGAGCACATTCTAGGATGGCTTGGTTATGGGCCAGTCTTAACAAGTTTCTTGGTTTACGTTATGTCCCATGCTAGAAATCTGGAGGGTGGGCGCAGGCTCACATTAGGACGGGACTGTCGGTGTGGAAGAGGCCGAGCATGGGGCTGTTGGCGGCGGGCGACTGCACACACAGGAACGGGAACCAGTCCGGGGCATTGCGTGCCTGCTGCTCCGAGCACAGGTGCTCAAATGGCGGCGACACAAGCCCCCCAAACACTCCCGGCAAGCACGATGAAAGCATTCTGCCGTTTTCCATTGTGCAAGTCTGTCGCATGGGAAACAAGAGAGTGGCAAGAATTATTCATTGAAGATAAACATCCATCAGGGAGTTGTATGTACATTTGAGAGTATGTGTGTGGTCCGTTGATGAACTGAAAGAGAGAGGCAGTCAGTCACTGAGGGAAAAAGGTCTAAAACTGGTGCAGGGAGGGTGTGGATAGCACTGATAGCTAGAAGGCAGTTTCCGACTGTGGGGGGAGCAAAGGAGAAGTACTTGGTTGCTGGAGTTGAAAGTGCATGGAAGGGAGCAGAGTGACATTACATGGGAGAGGTAAGAGAGTAGGGGGAGAGGTAAGAAAGTAGGTGGAGAGGTATCGTTAAGTGAGAGGTATGAGGTGTGGACGGGATTAGCGAGATGAGAGGAGACAGGTTAGAGCGTGGAGTGGAGCAGAGAGATGAGAGGGGAGAAGAGAGGTAGGCAGGATCCTGCAGCCATTCACATTATCCCAGTGGGGGCGATGAGGGCACGCACATGATCACAGCAGCAGCCGACGTCACAGGCCTTCTGGGTGAGGTCGCAGGGGCACATGCTCAGCGGGACGTACGCTGGGTTGGGCAGCCCCGTCACCAGGGCTGTAGTGCAACATAGGGTGTGTTGTAAGATTTTAACAAAGCCTCTCTAGTTACTCATCACACAAAATTGCGCATCATATGCTACCCTGTTCCACCACACTTTGGGTTAAATTACACCGGCATCCAAGTTAGAATTCCAACTTGTAACATGCAGTTTTCGCTCTCCAAGAGACTGACCCAGAAGCGTGAGGAACCACAGACGAGCAGGAAGGCAGCCAGGCCGTGAACTGGTGCTAACAATTGCCCAAGCTCTGCGGTCGCCTATATATCTATTAATGTTTTACATGTGGGAGGAAATCGATGCACCCAAAGAAAACCCACGCGTGCAAGGGAGCAACACTCTTATCCCATTTAGATGGAACAGGTGGAGTCCACATTTGCTCTACTGCCTTCTGGCAAACCAGGGCACAGCAGCTCAACACCCTCCGGCCCTCACCTCCACAGTGCTGGGTTACAGGCCTACGCCACCACTGCCTGACAAGTTATAGATATGCATCTATCCGTTTTATGAATTGTCACAATGCTAAAAACAATATATAACTGTGTGGGTGCTATGAATCAAACACACATGGAGCATGCATTGTGAGCCTAAGAATACATTTTGATCGATAAATTGATTAACCATCACATTCCCAACAAACTCCACCAGGCAGTGAACACTTCCAACCAACAACATGGTCCCACTCTATGCCTGTTGGTAAAAGGGTGGCTAGGACTGGTTCAGTTATCACTCGACACTGTTATTAGCCATGGTCAGGAATCGAATTTAGGTCACCATGTTAAATAGCTATGGTCAGGAATCGAATTTAGGTCACCATGTTAAAAGCACAGTGTGCTAACAACTGTCACTGCTCCTTTATTTAACAACTACCAGGGGGTGAATTGTTACATGTTTATTGGCTGTGCATGAAGGGGGTGTGGGGTGGAATTTAGCATGATCTGTGATGCGTTGCGTACAGATGTTTCCATCGATTCGTGCTTCCAAGGGCCGGATGGACACCTGCACCAGTAGGGTGGCAGTCTTGTTGCTCTGACAGCATCTCACTGCCAATGCCTCTTCCACTACAACCTTGGGGTCCGTTGGAATCCGTGTCAGCATCAGGTTAACCTGATAAAAAGATCACACAGTCTCTTTTACACCTTTCCCACTGGCACACCGGAACAGAACCAGCACAGGTCGCTCATGGTTCCAGTTGATTTAGCACTGGTTATGTGCCATGCCAAGCCAACACCAAACTGATACACTGGCCGCACAAGACATCTGAATTTGGCTTGGGGTCAAGCGGGGCCAGCAGCGGGGACATGTGACATCATGTAGTACCGAGAGGACACAGGATCATCTACAGGAGTCTTGCCTCATTCATTGTGTGTGACAGCGGCACGGCTCGGATTCTGCAGTGGAAAAACCTGGCCCCGGTGCAGCTCGGTTGTGTACCGTAGTGGAAAAGATGTAATTGGTGCTTGTTACTTTTCCATAAAACAGCTGGGCTTGAAGCCTCTATTAAGGTAACTGGTCTGGGAGGTTTAAACATTGACAAGATGACTGCTTTGCTACTTAAATATGCAACCCAGTATACATACCCAGTCTATGTGTGTAGAGCTGTCCAACATTAGTTTACAACTTTGTTGTTAAAAGTGATAGCCAAGTATGTTGTGACTTCACTGTGATGTGACTTTCACATGTTTGAATAAAATGCCAATGCAGTGAATACAATGGCTGGTGTGTCTTCAAAAACTCTTAGAATTTGTATTTGCATTGTCCTTAAACACCGACAGTGCCTGATGTTCATAAGCGAGTACCACTTTGTGGGTTGAAGCAAACAGAAGTCGTTCCATGGATAGACCCCCTCGTTCCTGCTTTCACAACTGAACTTATCACCACCGGTTCGGGACTGCAAACAGGAGATAAGCATACTCTTTGGTTCTATTCGGTAAAGTCACGTAGGTAAAAAATAAAACAAAAATCACGACGTTTCGGCCACAACACAAGTGGCCTTCATCAGGTGAAGGGACAAACTGTCCAGCGGACAGCGTTGGAGTGAAAAAAGCCAAGCGCAGGTCGCCTCCTTTTAAGCTGAGGGGGTAAACAGAAAACGCCTTGACAAAGGAAATTAGCATAAAACACACCACTAACAACGCTTGGAATTAGCACAAAATGATAATACACCACCCTGGAAGTTTGGAATGCCACCACCTGAATAAATATACTGCACCACTGAAAATTAGTTTAATGTTTGGTTCGATTTAGAACATCTTTTCAACGGTTGCTTAATCTGAAACCATCTTCTCAGTTAAATTGTGTCTGTTTGTAAATCTGAATTGCCTTGTGGATAAATCTCTGATAACCTGTCGGTTTGCAAAGGACCTTGGTATCAGAGAAAATTATATCGTGATCACCCACAGCGTTGTAACAGTGATCAGCTACGTCAGAAGAATTCGTCTTGCCGTGTTTCAAATCTGATTTGTGCTCGCGAATTCGGTCAGAGACATGTCGTTTCGTCTCCCCAATATAGCAATCACCACAAGTGCAGCTCAATTTGTAAACCCCGGGGTACTGTAAGTCAGGAATGACATCCTTCACGGATGGGATCAGGTCACGGATTTTGTGTACTGTATTGAACCGGACCAGGATCTTGTGTTTGTTTAGGATTTTGGAGATCTTTTTAGTAACGCCTGCTATATATGGTAGTGTGATGGTTTTGACCGGAGTATCAAGTGGTTGTTTCTGTATGGAGGGAGAAACAGCTTGGCGGATGGTACGGTCAGAGTATCCGTTTCTCTTGAGGGCCAGATGTACGTGTTTTAATTCACTGGTCAGGTGGTGTTGGTCCAAAATGCAATGAGCCCTGTGGTATAACGTTTTGATGAGATAATTCTTTTGCGTCGGGTGGTGGTGGAAATCAGGTTTCAAGTAGGAATATGTGTGGGTGGGTTTCCTGTAGACAGAATGTCCCAATGAGCCATCAGGTCCCCTCTCAAACAGAACATCCAAGAATGGCAGCTTGCCATCTTTCTCCACTTCCATGGTGAATTTGATGGCAGGATGTCTGGAATTGATGTGGTGTAGGAAGAGGTTCAAAGCTGGGAGGCCATGTGGCCAAATGACGAAAGTGTCGTCTACATATCTCTTCCACAGGGAAGGTCTGAGGGTGGAAGTTTGGATGGCATCTGATTCAAATTTCTCCATGAAAACATTGGCTATCACTGGTGATAAGGGAGAACCCATGGGGGTACCCTCATTTTGTTTGTAGAAGGTGCCATTCCAAGTAAAGTAGGTATTGGTGAGGCAGTGCCTAACCAGCGCAGGTGTATCGGGGTCTAGTCCATGTTGTACCAAATTTTCAATTATTTCAATGGTATCAGGTACCGGGACCTTGGTGAACAGGGAGACCACATCGAAGCTGACAAGGATATCGTCAGGGGACAGTACAACGTCTTTGTCCATAGAGACCAATTGGGCTGAGTTAAGTACTGCTGAAGAGGTCTTGCCATTGAAAGGTAGCAAGGTAGCTGACAGAAAACATGCTAGCTTATAGGTAGGGGAGTTGATCGTGGATACGATGGGTCGTAGTGGGGTGCCTTCTTTATGAATCTTGGGGAGACCATAAAATCTAGGGGGTCTTGCAGCAGAAGGTTTTAGGGAGGGACGTTTAGTTGGTTCGATTAGGGAGGTCGAACTTGTGATGATCTTGTTGGTTTTTATAGTTAGGCTATTAGTAGGGTCATTTTTTTTTGTAACTTCCATCATTGAGTAGGTTCTGGATTTTGTTGTACGAATCTGTATCCATAATTACAGTGGCGTTGCCTTTGTAGGCTGAGAGGATGACTATATCATTTCTATTTTTTAAATTCGCGAGTTCAGAGCGTTCATTTTTGCTGATGTTGCTAATGGGTTTCTTAGCATTCTTAAGAATAGTGGCTATTTCAGCTCTCGCAACGTCTGCTTGGATGTGTCCTACGCCTTTGAGGGCTACATCGACCTGAGAAATGATATCATCTACAGGGATATGTTTCGGGGTGACAGCAAAATTTAGCCCTCTAGCCAGTACTGTTTTCAGATTGTCCGAAATCGGGGTGTTACTCTGATTAATGACGATTTTGTTAACGTCTAGTTTTGTTATATGTGGGACTGGGTTCTTCTTCGATAGGTGGTTGAATTTAGAAATCAGGTTAGCTTTGCATTTGGCTGAACTAATTTTCAGTGGTGCAGTATATTTATTCAGGTGGTGGCATTCCAAACTTCCAGGGTGGTGTATTATCATCTTGTGCTAATTCCAAGCGTTGTTAGTAGTGTGTTTTATGCTAATTTCCTTTGTCAAGGCGTTTTCTGTTTACCCCCTGAGCTTAAAAGAAGGCGACCTGCGCTTGGCTTTCTTCACTCCAACGCTGTCCGCTGGACAGTTTGTCCCTTCACCTGATGAAGGCCACTTGTGTTGTGGCCGAAACATCGTGATTTTTGTTGTTTTATTTTTTACCTACGTGACTTTACCGAATAGAATCAAAGAGTATGGATCCTTGCAGTCACGAAAGCTTCAAATCTAGAAAGGAGATAAGCACTACTTAAATGCTCCCTTGAGTTTGTATAAAAGTACACAAATATACTGTCAGAATAATAATATTTGAGTATTTATAAACTGGTGTAAATGCTAGGACAAAAAATGCTGTTGAAGTAATACAAACCACTGTAGAATATTGTGGACCGTATGTGACGTTCCAGTTTTCTGATGCATTGACACATGAAAGCAAGGTGATGTCACTCGACTCTGAAAAATAACCGCATATTGACACAACCACCGGCATAGAATGCTCGAATACAATTCTCGCACTGTGAAACGTGAAAAATTATACTGCCCGCGTGAGAGGTGTGCATTCAATTTGCTCGACTGCGACCACTGTATACTTGTTCACGCACCGTTCAAGAGATGCGCGCCGCATGTGAACGATGCTGCTGCATCCGCGTTCACAAGCATTACATCCACAGTGTAGTTTGTCATCAGTATGCTTCGCGGTTGGAATTCCAGCGCTGTTAAAACACACACACACATAAACGTCTTTGGTTTACCTTCATAGCAGGACGGTGTTAAGTTGCGTTTTCATTCATTGAGGCGATGCGGCTTTTTTGAGACGTACAGTACAAACGTGATTTGAAGCTTTCGTGATTGCAGGAATTACTCTTTGGTTCTTTCGGTAAAGTCACGTAGAAATAAAATAAATTACATCTTACTTTCCGGAGTGTCCTGTAATCTGGATAATGCGGTAGTTTGTTTTTAGTCTCCCTCACGTCCACGTTTATCTGATCCGCAAACACTTCAGTGATGATATGTAACTTTTTGTATAGAACGCATGCTCACTCTGACCGAGTGCCAAGTGGATGCTTGCAGACGCACACATCCTCCATGTAATCGCATACCTGTCAACCCCTTTATCAGTGCCTACATTATAACATAACAATTCAGACCTTATTAGTCACCCCGTGCCCTTATAAATCTCAACGTTCATCAACGTTCATCCTACAAAGTCCCATCACAGGGGACAAACACAAATCGACAATCACCACCACTACACTCACCACTACATACCGGGCAACCCCTTATCAGTGCCAACCTTATTGCAGACAAATCAGACCTTATTGATCACCCCGTAGAACCTTATAAATCTCAACGTTGATCCTACAAAGTCCCATCGCAAAGAAGAAACACAAACAAATAAAGACAAAAATTTTTGCCCGTGTTGAAACGGCTGTACGCCGTATGGATCTGAAAATGTCCCTGTACAAGAATTCGGTGTAAACAGTATGGGTTGACAGGTATGCAATGGAATAGACGACTGTAGGTGCATTTGATGTTATTGAGCACCTCATGTAAGTCGATACTGCGGGAGGAGAAATGACCATACTTCACCACGCGCGCTGGGTTGTGCTGAGGCACAATTCCTCAGCACAAGTGCTGTACAACAGCGGGTTTTTGCTGCACTGGATTTACACGAGGGAACATTGCTAAATTACACATCAGATTTACATTAACTACAGCACAATAAAAAAACACACACACAATAGTAACGGCATCGTCACCTCTCACCGAGGCCCGGTCCCACAGATGCAGCAACAGCAGCGCGATTACCCCGAATATCGTCCTGCGAGACATCCCGAGTGCGATATCTCTCACTCTTAATTTCACTTTATTTAATAAACAAATAAACTCCGTAATTAATAATAATAACAACAATAGACCCCCTCAAACGGTTCTGTCCGCGTGTACCCGTGCGGCTCGCCCAACCACCCCGAAGGCTTCCCTAGCAACCACTGGGCCGCGCGAGCACGTGACCGACGATTCGAGCCGCTGGATTGGTGGACGGGGACGGGCGGCGAGCGGGCCCCGCCCCCCCCCTAAATTCACCAATCGCGTCGAGAGACGCCTCGGGACTGGCCAATGAGACGGCGGCGTCGCGGTCACCATGGCGACCGAATTGAACGGCACGCGACAGCGTTGGACCCCGGTACGCGCAGGAGATTTCGGGCACGACTATGAACTTATAACGCCAAATTCGTCGGCACAACGTAACATATACAATCTACTTTAATTGTTTTACGCGATGACTGTTATCGGTCGCTCGAGCCGGGTCCGACTGCGGTGGGGTTTTTTTTTAATTGTTAAAATGGCAAAACAGAGCAGATGGGTTTGTTGAGTTAAAAGTCAAATTACCCGTTTACAGCCCTGAGCCAGTGGTGTAAACTCCATATTCCTATAGCGGGGACGAGTCTGTCCATACAACAAACAACCACTGCGGACTTCCCCCACAAAGTGGTACCTGTTTTTTTATCGTCCACCGAAGGGATGATGGGTTGAGTCAACCATCCCATCCGTGGAAATTGAACCTTCGACCGCTGTTGTACAGTACCATTGTAGCAAACGTTTCGGGGAATTGTCCTTCTTCATGGTACCTTAAATGTGTTGACGGCTTTTTTTTCTTTGTTTGTTAAATGTTGCCAGTGCACCGCTGCTGCCAAAGCGGAATCGCCAAATGGTGTGTATAGCTGTACCGTCATTGTACGCAGGGTAATCATTAATTGTCAGACTCGCCTCGTGATTTCTCAGGTTAAGATTTCAATGTACGGTCCAGTGTATGTGAGCGATGTTTAAAATAGCGACCTCGGGAACGAAAGGTCACGGACGCGTTCTTTATTGTTCGTGATTTTGCTCAACTTGGATGTAGGAGTAATTTGCTTTTCGCAGACCGATATGTTGCATTAGCATGTGGCGTAGCCAGGAGCACGTTAAGCCGCGTTCTTCTCAGCATTGTTTTCACGCTGCACCAGGTACTCCTTCAAGGCTGACTCAAACCAGGGGATGTCTCGGACAAATTCCACTTCACTGTCTCAATAACCACTCACTGCATCACCTCCCCCTACTTTGTCTTACACACACAAACCCATATGCAGACGGGTGCACGTTGACTGACGGCTGACCAAAACCGAGGCACCAGGGGAGCGAGCAAAAGGATCCAACAAGTGAGAGGCTTGGCCATGGCAGCGGACGACCCGCGGTTGGGTTGGACCTGCGAGCGGCTGCTGGCGCTGCTCGGGTTGAGCGAAGACCCCTTACCCAGGAACATCGGCAGGCTCCATCCCGCACCGTCGAATGCAGACGAGGAGACGCACGTGTGGACACCACCATCGGGAAAGGATGCTTTCGAGGAGCTGCTGACGCGGGGTCGCGGGGAGCACGAGCAGACCATCCTGAAGTTCTTCAACGAGACGGCGGATGAGGAGCGACCCACGACACTCTTCTTTTTTCACGTGCAGCGGGAGGAGCAGCGGGAGTTCACCGTCTTCGTTGGTGCGTGATGCTCTCCAGATGTCCTCGCTTTAGTTGGCGATGATCTATTTACGTGTACAAGTCATGCGTCCAACTGGAAGGAGACTTGTTGCGTAGGGTGGTTCGCATGAGCCCTCCTGGTTCAAGGAATGAAATGGGAGCCGCTTTACAATTTCTCTGGTTTTTTTGTAGCCCGGAACCTGAGCCTCTTTGGTCCATGGGCCTTGCTAGGGTTGTCACCTCTGAGGTACAAAAAAAAAGACCTGGGATATATGGAAAGAAGAATATCTCAATATTCTGAAATGCATGGCCTTGATTGATATCCCCATGACAACCTACCACAAACGCAAATTCATGGTAATCATGCATCCAAGAACTATTCAGGCTCCAACCTGCTTAGCTTTTGAGATCTGATGAGATTGGGCATATTCCAGGCGATTTGACGACAAGTAGAGTTGACCCTAATGATTAGAAAATTGATCCACACGTTAATGCAACTGCATATTGGGGGCACTTAGCTCCGTACTGCTCGGTTTGGCGGTGCTTGTTTTGGCTGTAAAATGTTGCGTTCTTTCTGCGCACTCCACGATACACAGAGGAGGTGGAGGAGGATGGGGCTGAGCAAGGAGAGGCACAGGAGGATGGAGGCACCCAGGAACCGGTCCTTCCCGAGGACCCGCGTGATTCTCCACATCTAGAGACTGGTCAGAAAAGAGTCAACACCTTGTACCAGTGATTGATGCTCACCTTCAGCCCTATGCTTAATCATAAGGGACATCACAGACAAATAAAGGAGACGATTATTTTATACTCGTAGGAGGGGTGAAGAGATTTCCCAACATCCTCCTCTATGGGAACATCAGTGGAAGAATGACTAGAGCACATCTACTGATGAAAATAACAATTTAAAAACAAAATAAAATTGTCTGAAACTGGCAATTACACTCCAAGCGGCGGCTAATGTAGAAAATTGTCTGGAACTGAGAATAACACTCACAGGAGTGGATAGGCTATAGCCAGAGGCAGACGCTTTTGGAAGTTGAGCTGCCTGGTCGAGCCAACCTGGTGGTGTAGGTAATGCATTAAATCAGGTATCTCAGATTCAGAATATTTATTATTTTATTGTTTCCCTTCAACGTGACTTTACCGAAAAAAACTAAGGATATGAATTACTGCAGTCACGAAAGCTTTAAATCAAAATGTGTTAAGATGTTAAAACACCAAACTGAAACCTTTGCAAGGAATCATGTGTGCAGTAACCGCATATACTTGTGGTGAACATGCAATAAAAACACATTCTGACAGTATGTGCATTGTCTTTGAACTGATTGGTCCACTCCAGAGACAGCTTTCTTTAGAGCCTAGTCTCAAACAGTGTTTGATCAGAGGATGCCAAAAGGTGTACACAGTACAAAGACAATGCCACTATCAGAGTAATGAGAGTTCGGGGTGAGCAGCTATATCATGGGACCTCCTTTGCCAGTACCAAAATATGAGAAGAGGTTTTTACTTTTTTTCTGGCAACAAAACAGGCATTAAGATCTACATCATTCGACCACCTTTGCCAGTACCAAAATATAACAATAGGGGTTTTCCCATTTTTTCTGGCAACAAAACTGAAACCTTTTTACAAGGAATCATGTGTGCATTAACCACGATACTTGTGGTCAAAATGCAAATAAAACACTTATAATATATGCATTGTCCTTGAAACTGATTGGTCCACACCAGAGATGGCTTTCTTTTGAGCCTCGTCTCAATTGGTGCTAGACCAGAGGATGCCAAAAGGCGTACATCTCAAAGACAATGCACTATCAAAGTAATGAGGGCTCGGGGTAAGCATCTACATCATTGGACCTCCTTTGTCAGTACCAAAATATAATAATAATATGTTTTTTTCCCTTTTTTTGGCAACAAAACTGAAACCTTTTTACAAGGAATCATGTCTGCATTAACCACAATACTTACGGTTAAAATGCAAACAAAAACACATACTCTGATAATATATGCATTGTCTTTTAAACTGATTGGTCCACACCAGAGACAGCTTTCTTTCAAGCCTCGTCTCAAACGGGTGTTAGACCAGAGGATGCCAAAAGGCGTACAGCACAAAGACAATGCCACTATCAGAGTTATGAGAGCTCGGGGTGAGCAGCTACATCATGGGACCTCCTTTGCCAGTACCAAAATATGAGAAGAGGTTTTCCCCTTTTTTCTGACAACAAAATAGGTGTTAAAATGTTAAAACACCAAACTGAAACCTTTTTACAAGGAATCATGTCTGCATTAACCACAATACTTACGGTCAAAATGCAAACAAAAACACATACTCTGATGATATATGCATTGTCTTTGAAACTGATTAGTCCACACCAGAGACAGCTTTCTTTCGTGCCTCGTCTCAAACAGTGTTAGACCAGAGGACACCAAAAGGCGTACAGCCCAACGACAATGCCACTATCAGTGTAATGAGAGCTTGGGGTGAGCGGCTACATCATGGTTCTTCCTTTGCCAGTATGAAATTATGATAATAGGTTTTTCCCTTCTTTGGCAATAAAACAGCTGTGTTAAGATGTTAAAACACCAAACTGAAACCTTTGCAAGGAATCATGTCTGCATTAACCACATATACTTGTGATGAACATGCAAACAAAAAAAACATGTTCTCACAGTATGTGCATTGTCTTTGAAACTGATTTATCCAGAAAAGACCATCTGACTCTCAAGACTCATTTACAGGAGGGTCTTGCATTGGACTGTTTTAATGGTTAATTTTTAGGCAGTGGTTTTTGATAATATCCAGAAATACTTTATGACGATTTTAAAAGTTGAGCCGAGTTAATTTAAGATGTTGTACGTTTCGATGAGTCCTGGTGTTGGCACAACAAAAACAGTACCCCTTGGTTGCAGTGCGCAGCGTAAATATTGACGCGATTGTGCGTGCCTACGTTTGCCTGGTATTGGCAGTTGTCAATGGAAAAAATGAGGATAGACCAGAGCAGCCCAGCGAGAATGGGGTGGGCGTCCTCTTAACCAGCGGCCGCAACACAGCCCTGGGCACGATCTCACAGGATGGCAAGGAAGCGCCCGAGGAAGCGGTGGAAAAGAAGTACATAACGGTGAGCAATTGTGGCATAATGGTGTGTGTTGTTGCATTTGGCACTGTTGTAACCACACATGTACACAGAATAATTGCAGTGCTTTAATTTGATCTTTGTATGCTCATCGAACGGCAGTCACTTGTTCACGATTTACTCCGCATGATTGCAGCTGTTGTAATAAATTCATCTGTACTACACCGTCTTCTCTCACCACTTTCCTATGCCCCCCCCTCCCTCCACCCACCCTGCAGAAGACAGTCGTGGAGACATACCTGTACACGGTGCTGTACACGAGCTTGAACTATGTGCCGGACACATTTGCCGACAATCAGGCCGTATACTTTTTACGGGACGCCAAAGGTGTGTCTGGGCCATCGTAACATTT